GGCGGCCGGGCAGCCCCGCAGGACGTCCTGAGGGTGGAGTGTTTCTGGAGCGGGTGTGAGGAAGAGGGAGGTACCGGCCTGCCACCTCATCGGGGCCGCTGCGAAGGGCGTGTGAGGAAGGCACCGTCGTGGCTTGAAACCTGTTTGGTTTTATCTGAATTCGTGGCGGTGCCGTTTAAGGGAGCTTTGATGCCTACTTCGTTTTTCCTGGCCTGCTGGTAGGGTGTCAGTTGCTGCGAGGGCTTGAAAATGCCGTGGTGTCCTCGAGTGCTGCTGCGTGACAGCGCTGGCCGCTTCCGTACTGGCCTTGAATTTTCCACTTCTGTATGGATTTTGTATAGTTCTCAAGTTCAGAAGTGTTTGGTTTTTTTTTCCCGTAGTCCTCGTTTTGTCAAAGCCGTTATTAGTGCCAGACCTAAAAATGTGCAGAGGCTTCTGACAGTCACGTTCCATTTGTTGATGTTTTTGTTTTGTTGTTGTAGAGTTTGGTGGTGTTTTGGTTTTTTTTTCCCTTCTCATTGTTACTACCTGAAATTGAGCAGAGTTTATTCGCACTTTGTGTGATCTGTTTACTTTCAGGGTACGCTGTCAGCAACACCTGTGTGGTCAAACTTTTATTCACAGACTCCTGGTAAATTCATAACTTGATTATACAATGGTGTGTCTAATATTTTTTCCTTTACATGAGTAACATTCCTTAACTGGCAGTGGCAGATTATTCTGACTATTGACAACTTCAGCTGCAATTTAAGGTTGTATACTTAAGGCTGACCTGGGCTTGATATTAGAAATTCAGTTAATGCACTAAACTAATGAATACTTCAGCTGTCCATATGGCAACAGGAACATACGATGGCAAAGGTTCTTTGTAGTATAAGACTACATACTATGGACTTGAATTGCTTTTTTTTTGATGTGTATTCTAGTAGTGTTCAACAAAAAATAATAATTGTGCTTAGTACATACCTTCCCCCCCCCAGCCCCCGCTAAGACTGTGGCAGTGATGCTCCTACTGAGGATTTTTTTATTTGGAGTTGTCAACCTGTTTCAAGTATATGGCTTATGGCTATGTGGACTTATCAAAGCCACATATCCTAATTTGAGGTATATTTTCTTCAGTTAAGAAATTCGTACGGTGAATTTGCTAACCTCTAGTTCATAAGTTTATTTTCCGTAGCATGTAGTTCAGTAATTTAGGGAGGTTACATTATTTAAGTACTGGGATTTTTTCCCATCCCAAATATTACTGGTCTTTGAACTCAATGGTGTTTATATTTACATTTAAATTTGCATCTTGCCTTGGTAATAGAAGTCTGCCTTGTGCCATCTGATTCCTGCATCAGTGGAGCAGCTGGCTGTATTAACTTTGTATCTTACAGTTGGTATCTGTGAATATCTATGAATAATTTATATCTGGCTTATAAATTAGTTCAGTTAAAAAGGTTTTTGAGTACTTGGTGATGTGGCAGGTTGCAGTTCAGCCTTTACTGTTGTGTTTCCTGAATTCCCCCTCCACAAATATCTGGGCTGGTGCTGACTAAGCTCCCATTTGACACAAACCACATCTTCAGAAGATTGATCATTCATAGCTGTTTGTCTGCACTAATTGCAGCGAAAAAGGTGACTGAGAAGGATGGACGAGTATTTTTTCTCTTCTCCTTCCTAGTGGCAAAAGAAAGGAAATGTAATAAGGGCGAGAAGAAACTGGCTTTGAGTATACAGAGCTTGGTTCATTATGGTCAGATCACTAGCCTCAGCTGTTTCTCTCGGCCTCACTATATATTTCTATGCTAAGTTTGAGAGTGTTGTTGTTTTTTTTCCCCTCACCTCACATAGCAAAGGATACTTGAGGGATGGCTTTTTGGTGTGCTGGTCTTTAAATATATTTACAAATTTTCTTTGTAAATGGAGAGAGGAAAAAACTTGATGGGTGGAAGTTACATATGGCTCAACTGGATGCTCTGAGGCTCCTTGTGAGCCTTTTTTAATTGCTTCTGAGACCGTGGTTAGTTGCCCACTTCATACGTTTTTCAGTATTGTTCTTGAAAAACATACTTGCAAGCACACATAAAAGCAAAACCCAAACTTTTGTAATAGTAACATCAAACTTAAGTCTTAATACACTAAACCAGCGTCATTCTGCTCAAAAATTGCCCTACAAGTGGTATCTCCCACTTGGCATGACAAGATAATCATCAAGTTCTTATATTAGCACACACGAAGAAAAGGTTTAGCTCATTGCAATTCAGACTACTTACATGCATATTTCTTCTTTGTCTTTGAAACAGTTTTGTTTCTGCTGCATAGTTGGGGCTAATTCTGTTTATTTTGGTAGTCCACTTACTCAGCTTGGGAACAAGAGTTTTCTCATATGTCTATCCAGCTATATATATCTTTACATATGTATTTATTTTTTCTTTTGTAAAGTAGGTGGAAATTCTAAAGGGGAAAAAAAGAGAGGTGTGTAGATAAATGTAAAATCTTGAAGCTGTCTTCAGGTTGGAGGGCTTTCTTAAGCTTTTTACACTGTGGATGTGTGACTAAATATATGAGAATGTAGTTGAAGTTTGTATACTTAGGTGCCCACATGTTAGCATCAGTTATTCTAATAAAACAAAAATCCTACCAGGATTTATGTGAAGTGAATGTATTCAACTGGAAAAACAAGTTAGTGACACCTGCTTATTTTTCCTGTGCCTTCTGATTGAATTTAAGTTGTCAGGGCTGGTACCAGTTCTTGTCTGGGAGTAGTTTATGGGTTTTGGATTTATTTTTTTTTTTAATCCTCTTTTTGGCGGGGCTTTTTTAGTGTGTGTGGTTTTTTCTTTTGTTTTTCTTCACTCTCTTTTTCCACTGCTCTTCCACTCTTGCATCAGTGCCAGCACTACAGACTCTGAATTTATCCAGAATATCTGATTTGATTTGACAGCTGAGGCTCTTGTATGTGGTCATTTGAGGTCTTTGGTGAATAGGTAACAGGCAGGGTTTAGAAATAACATTCAAATCAAGATACTTGGAAGTTTTAAATTAGAATGCTTGCATATTTCTGCATAAATTTATTTTTTTGCCCAAGCATATAAAGCTTTTCCAGTTGTAGTGCTAGGTCTTTGATATCCATCTCACTAATGACTGTCTGTTGGAAAGAGCTCTGTGGGGTTGGTGTTTTTTGGTTTTTTTACTCCTGTTGAACTCGAGTCCTTATGTTCATTCCCAGACCAAAGAGTGAACAGGCACCCAAATAGGTTATGCCAGATTTGAGTCCTTAGACTCCCATGCCTGTGTTAATGCTTTTGGATGTCTCCTGAGGGGTTGTTTATTTAGTGCACTTGTTTGTCTACAGCCAGAAAATGAATAGGCAATAGATTTATGTGAATAAACAGCCCAGCTATCAGATCAGTGTGCAGTGGTCTGGAGTAGGTGTGGTAGATGTCCCTTTTCATCGTCGGTATGCTGACTAGAGATTGCCACATCGATTTAGGATGGTCAGCAACTAGCATAGACGAGTTTTAATGTATGGCTAGTAATTAGTCTGATTCTGCAGGGGTCCTGCAATTCTTCACAGTTTGCCTTATTTCTCTACTCACATTGCTCCTGCTTTTGTTACTTACCTTTTTCATATACTTTATAATCTTTGGTGTTTTCAAGGAAAAAAGATGCCTCTTCTGCCTAAAGTATTATGTAACTGCAAAACTGTACTGAACATAATGTGAATGAAAAACCTGGAATAGTGTAGGTACATCTTATTGTGGAAAATCTATTCTTGGAGCTATCCTGATGTGACTAAATGGAAAACAAGGACGCTCCTTCAGATGCTTGAGACTGTGAAAATTGAATACCATGTATAAGTGGATGGAAGGTTCATCATAGAGTAATTTACAGCCCTCTTCTAGGATGCCGCTCCAAACTGGCAGTTTTGAAAGATTTCAAATATTGCTGTGTGTGGAGGCACAGGGGGGAAGAAGCTTAATAATTTTGGGAGATTTTTTTAGCTCATGTTAAATGCTTCAGTGGGTTTATGGTTTGATACCAGATTTGTTGCTAGTATTGCTTCTGAAGCCAGAGAAATTTGTGGTGGGTTTGTTTTCTAGGGTGTGGCTTTAGTTTGATTTTGTTTTGTTTTTTCTCTTGTTGTGTTTGTTGTTGTTTTTTTCTTCAATGCTTACTTGGTCATTTTAGAGGACACTGGATACTCAGTGATAAAAGCTTTAAGTTAGAGAAGCAAGAAACCAAAATGGCAAAAAAGTGCTATTTTTTCTGAAAATTTGACATTAGCATAAAAGCTACCATGAAGTAGAATGCTCTATGTGAAAAACTTAGTGTCAAGAAATACTTCTCCACTATGAGTGGAGCTATTTTTGTTTTACTCAGAGCTAAACATAACTAGAATGGGTTTAAAAATGCATAATTTAATAAGATCTCCAAATTGACTATATGATAAGTAATATTACTGTTTAACTCCCATCTGTTTAAACAAACAAACAAAAAAAGCTGAAAATTTAAGACTTACAAGTTTGGGGTTTTTTAATATGAAAATATAAAAAGTTGTTTGCTCTCAGTTGTTCTAAAGCAAATAATTGAATTGCAGCTTTTGTATCGAGTTTTCTGAATTATTATCAGTCTTGTAACATCATTTTTGAGTGGATGCAGAGAGCATTTTGTTGATATTACCAGAGACAGCTCAATGACTTTCTTGTTAATGTAGAATTAAAAGAATTATAAACTGTACTAATGAGTGGGAAAGGAAAATTAATTTAAAATCCTAGATGCTGAAAGCCTCCAGTTCTTGATGGCTCGGTGATCAGAAATTACTATTCTTCAGTACATTTCATTACAAATACTTTGTTGTTTAATCACCTTTCAGCGTGAGCAGTTTTCATAGGCTCTTCTGCAAAGTGTCGTGTAACATTGTTGAGGGTTAGGGCAAACGTTTTTATTCAGACTTGAAGAAACGACTTCAAAGTGTTACTGTTTTTGTGTTTAAGATTAATTCAAGTGCCTATCTGAATTAGCTTGATACAGAACCTGGGTCAAATTAATTCCTACTAACTGTGGTTCATTGATTTCTAATGTAATTATTCAGGATTTTAATAAGTTACCTTGCTTAAGTTTGTGCCTAGTGTATGCTCTTGGTAAACGAAAACTTCTTATAGTGTGAAAGTTTGAATAGTGGTAAACTGGTAAGTTATAGTGAAATTATGTCCTGATTTGAAGAATGCTGGAAGCAGCACAGATGAAAAACCTCTGTGGTGGAATTGTTGTATGTCCAGCATATATTTGTACTCAGCTGCTCCTTTCTTCTCAACGGTAGTATTTTCCTGTTGGTTGAGCGGCACCTAGTTTATTAGCTTTTAATAAGAACTGGCACTTTGAAAACATACCCCTTGAATATGATTTTCATACTACTGGTTAAATGAAAAAGAAATAAGAATCTTAATTGTTTGGATATAAACTTGTGCAGTCTGGAAATGGTTTGCCTTGAAAATTACAGAAATGAGACCAAAGTGCCAATCTCTGAAGTGGCTAATAGCTCTTAGTTGAGTCCTAAGTTACCAGTAGTGTAATGAAATTTACTTAAAGCCTTTTTAATTTTATGTGTGTGCATCATGAGTGTTTTCCCACCTTCTTCTGAAATTGAAAGCCCACATTGAAATGTAGTTTGTCAAACTGCTTTTATGGTTGATATATAAAGCTTGATGTGTTGCTGAATGTATAGACAGGAATAGAAATGCTTATTCAGTGCCTTCTCACAGTGCGATGCTTTACAATGTTTATCTACTTACTTCAGCATCCTTCTTGGGGCAGGGAAGACGTGCTATGTGTTCATTAGGCTGGAGATTGTTTTAGAACTGGGAGATGTGATCTCTGCCTCCATATCAGTAACTGTTGTATGTATTTTGTTGTCACTGTATGCATTTGGCATAATCAAACTGGTCCTTCGAAACTTTGATCTTTTTGTTTTCCTTTAAGGAGCTGAATGTGGAATAAATGCAGAAGTAGAAAAACAGCTTGAAATGGGAAAAAAGTTATTGGCTGCTGGACAGCTGGCAGATGCTTTGTCTCACTTCCATGCGGCTATAGGTATGTATCTCGGGAAAGTGACTTCTGCGCTGAAGTACCTTTGGGGTTTTGTTTGTTTGGTTTCGTTTTTCTGCTATTTGCTTCAAGTGTCCTGCTTTCTTGCAAATTGTGGTCCGTGAGTTGCAGATGTTGGGGCACCTTTATGCTGCCGTTTAAACTTGAACAGGAGCCAACAGTGAAGCAGAGGAATATTTATGTTTTGGCTCTGCTAAATGAAACTGCTAAATGATTCGGGAACACTAAATCACTGCTGTTCTGCAAGGGAGCTGTATGGAGGCAGTTATAATTGACTGTGGTATTGTTTTACAAGGAACTCCCTGTATCAAATCCCATCAAGATTAGATTTCATCTTTATGAAGTTTTTTGAAATCTGTCTTTGAAAGGTTGAGTTTATCCGTGCGCTCTTCTTGTCCAGCAACATAAAAAATTAAGTAGTTAAAATAGTATCTCTTTTAAAAAAATAATTAAATCTTGCAGTGGGTGAAATCTCAGTGAAACTGGTGCTACAGGTTTGAGATACTGAACTGGTAGTGAAGAGTGTATTAATTGTCCTTCTCTAGTATTCAGCTAGTGGTTTCATATTTTTGCGTTCTGCATTTTCAACAAACTGAGAGGAGTTAAATGTTTGCTTCTGTAAATTTTAAAGTAACTTTACTGGTTTGAATCCTTGAATTGAAGCACAGAGGCAGACATCACCAGCAAGGATTAGTGTCTGTTAACGTTACAACTTCTGAATTTACTTTTTAAGTTGTTGGACTTTGTTATAATGTGCACAAGTGCAGCGTTTTCTCTGAGAAGAGTAACAGTGAGTTGTTAAACAGTAATGAATCATACTATTGAGACTCTTCTATTTATATCTTGGTCTGACAGTGATATGTAAATGCTGATTCTGAGTTATTAGTATTTTCTGTGAGTTCTCTAAGGTCAACTTTCCTTATACATAAGGAAGTGGAGCAGGGAAACCTCTTCCTTTCTGTGGTGTGGATGCTTATTCCACCAAGAGGTGTTCTGTTACTCCTTTTACTTTGTGTGTTGCTGCCAGAGCATTCCTGTGTGATCTGAGTGGGGTTAGTGTTACAGCCTGCTTTATTCCTTTGTTACTGGTTGGCCAGGTTTAACTTGGATTTGGCAAAGAGCCCAGTTCAGTGTGTGACCGTAGAAATGGTGGTGGTGGTGAACAGGAGGCGGCAGTGTGAGGTGGGATGAGGAGCAAGATGCTTTTGTGGGGTGAAACCCTCTGCTGTGCCAGCTGTGCCCAAGCAGCTGGTGGAGCTGTGGCCTGACCATCTCTGTTGTGACCTTGCTTGGATGTTGCTTTGAGCCGGATTGGCTACACTTTGATCAGACTTCTTTCTTCCTTGTGTTTTGCCTTTTCAAAAAGATTTTAGGCGAGATTTGCCTACTGTGTTTGTAGGAGAGGAAAGAAGAAATTTCTCTAATCCTTTTTTTTCCCTGTACAGCATCATCATAGGCTATGAGTTAAACAGAAATATGCCTCAGCCAGCATATTTTTCTTTTTTTCCAAGTAAGACACTGTCCATTTTTGTCTCTTTGCAGTTTAATTTTTTAACTCTTCCTTTTGACCCTATCAAGCTGATGGCTTATGCCTTCTCTCTGGGTGAATGTAAATTGCTGTTTGTTGCTATTGCTTCGGAGCTATGAGGCAAAACCTCGTATTCTCACTGTCAGAAAGATCATCTGGTGCTGGAACGTGCCAAGTTAACTGTTACCTATCTTTCATCCTGTGTGTATTAATAAAGTTCCTTAATTTTAGCTATTTATTTGTGCCTGCTCTGCACATTTAGTTGTATGCAGGATGACTTAATACCAAATTGTTTCTTTTAAAGGTAGTAACATTTGATTTTGCTTGAGGCATGTAATGCTGGAGTACAAGGTGGCATGCAGTATGGGGATTATAATTATGTTTCAATGTTGGACATGAGCATTTCCACAGCCAAGGCATTGTAGAGAAAGAGAGCAGATAAATTTTCCAGTGAGAACTGAATTAGTGCTTTTGTGACGGAGGTGGCTAGCTACGATGCTCAGTTACAGACCGTAGGATTTTTGGCAGCAATACATTCCATTTATTTTAAAGTCCAACCTCAGATGAGGTGAGGAAGAGAGATACACCTATATCTGAGGAACAAAACAAGTTCTTGTCTACAAATTCTGTATTGATGATTGTTTTTGTTGTCTTTTTTTAGTAGCACAGTAGAAAGTTTAGAGTCTTCTACTGCATATTGTTGTTCGAGTGGTTTGTTACCTTTACTTGAGAGCCCAGAGTAATTACTGTGTGTTTCTTTGAAATACTGCTTAGAGAATAATATTAAGAAAAGTTTTCTTGGTTTTGGAGAGTGATGTTTGGCCCCCGTAAGGGTGTACATATATGGGCTACGCTAGAATCCTACAGTTGCTGGGTCTTGGAAGCTTGACCAGCAGACAAGGTGGAATGTGCAGGCCTTGAAGTTAGCCTTCAGGTTTTGCAAATGTACATGCAGTTGTCTGTTTGAGAGGAGGTGTTGGTGCCCACTGTAATATAGAAGAAAGAAGTTGCTGCTATTTCAGTGGGTGATGACATTGGACTAACACATTGGTCATTTTGGGATTATTTGCTTGCATCCTGTGTGATGGGCAGGAATTGGGATGGAGAGTGAATTAACATGCTTTCAAATGTAGGCCTGCAGTTAGAGATAAAGGGTTAGTGTGTGCTGGTGGTGTTCCTGTACAAAGCTGAAAATTGTGTACCTGCTTCACCTTCAGTATTCTTGATTATTTGGGATTTACTGTGTTTCTGTAATCGTTTATTGTTAAGTAATAAAACTGCATAGAAAAATATTGCTTGGATAATGTTACAAATGTTATATTTTATTGTTAAATACCACTGTTTTCAGTAGCTTAAACCTCAGATAATATATTTTTAGTCATTACAGTTCTGCCGTACCCAAAGTTTCAGCTGCTTTGAGATAGTGTTCTGATTACTGTTCATTCACTTGCAGAGGGAGACTCTGATAACTACATTGCTTATTACAGAAGAGCCACAGTGTACTTAGCCATGGGCAAATCTAAAGCAGCAATTCGTGATTTAAGTAAAGTGGTTGAATTAAAGCAGGACTTCACATCAGTAAGTATTACTGGGATTGAAAATTGTTCAAGCAAAAAAGAAAACAACAAACTTACTTCTAAGAGGGTTGTTATTTCAGATTTTTCTGAACAGAAATAGAAGAAAACACATTAACACTCAGAAGGCTTTAAAATAGGATGAAATAGTAGTAGTGGTGTATGTGCTTGAATTTGCAGCTGTGTTGAGCACAGTCTAGCCAGTTATTCTAAGAACTAATAGTAGTTTTATTAAATTCATGTTCTTTATGCATTTGTGCTAAACACTTTCTTCTCTCACTTGTTATTCTCTCAGTCACCAAGGCTGTGTCCTCCAAGGAGGGAGTGGAGGGCAGGAGGGAAGAGAACACACAGATGCCTCTTCTGTCTCAATCAGCATTTAATTTGAGGCATCTCTTTTCCCCAAGGACTGTCCTAATCTGACTGACCTCCTAAGGGATTGTTGCAAATCCTGATTTACTTACCCCTTGCTCACTTCTGCTTAACAGTATGTGGAGGTTGCCTCACTGGTTGGAGACTGATGCTGGAGACTTCTCCACCTCATTCTCTTCTCTCTCATTTCTATGGGCATTGGCATGTGCTGTATAGCTTACAGTGAAGGAGCAAACATTAAATTCATTGTCATATGAAAATATTCTTACCATAAGTCAAAGACTTTTAAATCATTAGCTTGTCTTTTTGCATGGCTTCAATTATTCTGAAAGTTTACTGAAGAATTAAATGTGGGGATTGTTTGTTATTTTTGCTAATTTCTTGACATCTGTAAGCAGTTTTGATTATAAAAGTGGTTCTTTCCATCACTCGCAGCTGGTCGTGAAAAATATGGCTGCTTTTTGTCCCTTGGTTCTGGTGCAGGGTGATCCTTTACCATTAAAGAGGCCTCATAAGAATATTGACAAATTGAGAAGATGAAGAATGGCTGTTGCGTTCTGTGTTTCACATTGTTAGCTGTAGTAAACTGAAACTTTTTTTTTTCCCCTGCTAAAGGAAAATAGAGCTTATTTTCATAATTTCTTTTGATTTTACAAATTGGAATTCAACAAAATATCTTATGTATCATTTCAGGCAAGATTACAGAGAGGACACTTACTGCTCAAGCAAGGAAAATTTGATGAAGCAGAGGATGACTTTAAAAATGTGGTAAGTTTGAGATATAAGTTGAACTACATCGCTGCTTTGAAGGTTGGTTTCTGAGCAAAGGTTAGTTTCTGAGCAGCTCTGCTGCTGTAGAGCAGATGTGTGTGTATGCCTCAGGGTCTTTCCTGTTCTTTAAAGGTGTTGTAGCTAAGCTACATTGTATGAATAAATGACTGATCAAGGTGCAGTGATGAAGATGAAACCAGGTGTTGCATGAAGTAGCACAGCACTTGAAAAGTCTCTTTTTTTGTGTGTGTGTGCCCTGCACTTTGTGGTCTCTGCTTGAGGATGCTATATTAGGAAGAAATCTTCATTCAGAAAGAAAGGATAAGTGACAGATTCCGTGATTGAACCCTGCTTTACATCACCTGGATCACCTTGGGAAATCGCCAAGGGCCTCATAGATCAACCTTTCAAGTTCCCATCTCTCTTCACTCATTGCAGAAGGATCCCGGGCTCTTAATTTAGTTGCTGGACTGTTAAAATAAGTGAATTTCAGTGACGTTCAGCTGTGTGTCTTCCCATCTGCGGAGGAGTTCTCCATCTTTCATAACTGTGTTCACAAAACTTTCTCTCCATGATCAGGAAGTGCCCAGAGTTTCAGTACACACACATTTGGATATTACCCACTTAAAACTCACTTGGGTTGTTTTTTCTTTCAGTGGATATTTTGTGCGTTTCGGCTTCATGCTACAAAAATAAACTGATCTAACCCCAGAACAAAATTTCTCAGAGAATGTGAAACTCTGTTCCATCTCTGTTGCATGAAATTTCTGTAATCCTGAGAATAAATAAGATTCATTCTTATTCTTGCTTATTCTTCAAGAGGTACTAGTTTGAACAGCTTGCATGTTGTTATGCCAAGAGTTTGCAAGTGTAACGGGTACTGTCTTGTTGCCTTTCTTTGAAGAATGTGATGGAGAAAGCAGTTCTATGTTGAGATTACAGCTGTTTAGTGGAAATCTTACTAGTGAGTGCAAACAACAAACAAATTGCAGGTGTTTAATGGAAATCTTACTAGTGAGTGCAAACAACAAAACCAGAGCAATTGCACTGTACGGTCTGAAAGGTGGTTGGGAGGAACGGCTCTTGCAGGTATTAATGCCCTGAACAGTCTGTGTTTGTAGCAAAGCTCAAGTAGCTTATTCTGAGTTTGGTGTAGCAGTGGCTTCTCTGGCTGCTGCTGCTTCCTCAGTAAGTTTCTTGGGAGTGTGTGGTCTGCATTTGCACGTCTGATTGCAGTGCAGCCCGGCTGCTGGCACATACGGGAGAATGTCATTCAGCTCTGATTAACTGAGGACATCGTTGCTGCAATAGCAATTCCATGATGTCAGCCTTAGTTCTATGTTTGTGCATATCTTCAGAGTTCCCATTTCTTGAAGTATTGCGTAATACTCCATACAGAAATGCTTCTCCAGTCAGCTGGCAAGCAGTTTGTCCTTTTCCAAGCCTGCTGCAAAAATTTAGATTGCTGCCTTTGGTCAGTCAAATAGTTTCAGTCTTCAGGCAAGTTTTAAACCTGAGGTGAAACAGAGCTTCTTGTCAGAAGCTGATTTAGGAAGGTACCATACTGATCCTAATCTTACTCCCAGTTTTCTGGATTCTGTGAACAATTATCGCCCATGTACGTAGAGAATATGGCAAGCTGTCTGTTTTGAAGAGCACAACTTTCAGTTATGTACAGTATATTCAAGCAAAATAAGCCAATATTAAAATAATCCTTTGTAATAGGTGGATTTATTCCTATGGGGGAGAGGATTAAGTTATCCTGCATACCTTGAGGTTTTTTAGTAGAATATGTATTTCTTTGAGGGATTTCCTTTGTTTTCTTCTAAATCTTTCAGATAGTCAGTCTGATTATTCTACCAGTTCTCTGCATGTCTAAAATATCTAGTACACCCTGGCAGTATGCTTGGATTTAAATTTTAAATTGCATTTAATCTCAAAATGAAAGTGTCCTAAATCTGCAATTCTGTCTCCCTTGGAAGCGTAAGAGCTTAAAAACTGGCAACTGAAGGTGCCGCTTCCATCTCCACTAGATGTCAGCCAAGACCAAGTGACTGAGCGCTCGCTGTACATATGCAGATGGTTTTCTAATCTAAAGGAGCCCTCTGCTGTTGCAAAATACACTGGACAGTAGTTTTCCATGGTTGGTACACGCAAGAACACTTTTTTGGATGTAAGCAAAGGAGACCGTCTTGCAGCGCTGTAAATTAACCCGATTACTAGGCAATCTTGGGTTGGGTGTTTGAACCTCTTTTAGCCAAAGTAACATTAGATTATTTCCAAATACATTCCTCTGTGGTAGTGTGATCATCTGCATCTTGCTGGGTAAAGAGTAAAAAGTATTGAAAATTTCCTTGCTTTTTCCATCTGCCTGCCATCAGAACTGTGTCACTTTACGTTACTCTGCCAGTGCAGAGCTTCCTTTGTGCACTGTTCTTGAGCGTGTGGATGTCTTGATTCCTTCAGTTCACCTCAGAATATTTTCACAAACCTAATCAATTTCTTTTCGTTGTGTATTTACCGGTTGGAAAAGCAAGAAGATAAACCAACTTTAAAATGTGTAGATATATGCCTAAGTTAATGGCACTGGGCCACTGTAACAGAGGTAGGGAAATGGTCTGTCCAATGTTTTGGAGTTTTTTAACAGTATTTTGGTTTTAAACAACAGTATATAAGAGTTTTTTTCAAGTTGATAGTGTCTGTTTATAATATTAGGACACTCAAATGCTACAGATTAATTGCTGTATTTGTTTAAACTCTCTTTGAGAGTATGGCTTTTGAGTTAGTTTTTGTGCTTTTTTTCTCAAGATGGTTGTAACTGTTCTTCATTAGAATTCTTCTACTAAATGTCAGACTTTCTCCTGTGTTGTTAATGGGGCCTTGCGAAGGAACGTGTAGGTCTGTGTAGCTGGAATGCAGGACAGGTCATGATAAGCCTTTAAATTAGCTTTGCCATGTGTTGTAATTCTTCCCTATGCTTCTGAAAAAAAGATCCTGAAGCAGAGTTCTTACCAAACTTAAAAAATGGGCAGGAGGCACTTGCTATATGTTAATGATTTCCAGTTCCGTGTCCTATAGCAGTGTTCTTTTTTGGGGATCCTTTTATTAGCGTTGCAACAGATGATGTTGTAAAGCTTTCTTAAATAAAAAGCACAGTGCTGATCCAGAAAGCGTAATATAGGTGCAATGTACTGAAATACACTAATTAGAGTGGCGCGTGGTGTCCTCAGGACAGCAGCATCCAATGCAAAAGAAGCCCATGGATCCTGTGTGATCTAACATGGGTCTTGCTTCAGTGCTTTGTCGCTGCTCATATACCAGGGGCTGTATCCATGGCCTTGTATTAACGATATTTTTCTGGAGTAGTGCTGCGTTGTGTTTTTCATGTAGCCTTGTGTGTGGCTGGTGTAACTTCTGTGTGTGGTTAGAAATGTCATGTTGATGGGCTTGTGAAGTACAAGGAAGTGTGCCAGCTTTGGAGGCGGGGGGGTGTTATGTTACTTCTTGAAAACCAGCATGATTTATTTTTTTTTAGCTTGTTAAAATGCTTCTCCCATCAGAAATCTTTAAATACTTGATGTTTGACTGCAAATGCAAGGCAGCCGTTCCAAGGCTGCCTACTTTGAATAGAAATGATCTAAGTTCTGTCTGGAAGCCAAGAAAACTGAGGTTTATGAAGTGAGCTGTTAATGCATTTTCCTGCTGTCCTGGGTGCAGCAGGGCACAGTGCTGTGAAGTTTTGAGTCAAGCCCTTGTGATAAAGTTCTAGCAGAAGCTGGCTTGGTAAGTTGAGTGGGGATGATGTGGTTTCCAATTCAACGTTGTTTACTTGAGGGAAGCTTACCCTAGGATGTGTTTCGCCCTTATATTGAGACTGGGCTATAAAATAGAGCGTCAGGTATAGTGGTAAATTTGTGATAAGAGAATTACTTAAAGTAACAAAACCATTCCTGTATACTGGCCTTTGTCTTTTGTAAAGTAATTAGGTGCAGGTTTGGCAGGGGGTTGGCAGTGGATGAAAGCTGCTTTTAGTAGGTGGTGGGCTCTTTGTGCTGCAAATAAAACTGCAACTAATTTAGTGTTCTAATACAAATGTATTCAACTTCAAAGATAGCAAAGGATACTGTGCAGAGAACACCTTCACCAGCAGCCAGGTGCTTGTCCAGCAGAACTGAGCAGAGCACAGCTTCTGACTTGGCACTTTGAGGCCGCTGCTGAAACATGTAGAGGAGCGTTAGGTTTGCCCTAGACCTGTATTAAGTTCAGCTGAAGGGGTTTTTCAGTACTTGTGCTAGATTTCCAAGAAAGAAGCAACTTAGTGCAAGCAGTTTTTCTGAATTGTCACCCCCAGGAGGAGGAATAGTAATTGAAATGTGGTTTGTTATTGATAGTGATGGGGTAGTCTTCTGATCACACGGCAAAATGACAGCAAAAAAATGTTGGGAAGCCAGCCAGAATGAGAGTATCAAACAACCACATCGCTTTTCCAGCTTTTTTTTCCGGGACCTGAACGAAGAGGCTTCTTTATGCTTTAGTTAACGTCCCAGCATTGCAGTAGTTACTTCCTGAGAGCTTCTGGATGTATATTGTGCTAGTGCTGTAGCGCACAAATGCCTGATGGCTGTAGTTTGAATGACAGCTTGAAAAGTGTCCCTTTCTGTGTTAACTGGGCAGTTTTTACTGCCTAAAATTATCTAGGATGTTTCACTCCCATGGTCTTTATTACTACTGGACTTATCTATATGATTGTCACATTGCTTTTCATATTCCACTGATGTTTTTCTCCAAATAAATTATAAGAAACATACTGTGTGTTTAAGGAGTGCAGTGTTACTGTGAGATAAGTTTAAATGCAAACGTAAAGCTCATCTCCAATAAAAGCTCTTTGTTTTTGAGAGAAAAATGCTGAGAAATTAAGGGAGAAATTAAGCAAGTCAGCTGGAACTGAAGAATTTGGAGCTTAAAAGAGACTTATAGTTGTGCAACTTTTAAAAATACAGGTGCAGAAATTTATGTCTACTACTAGTCTCAGATCCAGGGGAGAAAGAGGATGCATAGCATTAGGGATTTATAGGCAGAAAAGCTTTTTGACACTTAATATTAGGAATCGGCCTAGAAAAAAGAAACTTTTATCACATTCCTCTCACTGAAGGACAGCGCAGGTGAGAAGGAAAATTTTCAAGTCCAAATACAACTTGATTTTTACCATAGTAAAATGAAGTAACTACATAAGGTTCAAAAAGACTTAAAATGAAGAATCTAAGACAGAGGTGGGACCTGTGCACGCTTTCGATGTTGCATTTAGGTTTTTCCTTTCATATACTTAAGTGTTAGAACCAGAAGAAATTTTGTTAAAGGAGTTCTGAGGGCTGATGTTGAATTACATTAGAGACTTAAGCACAAAATAGGAGTGTTTGAAGAACTTACTGCTGACCAAAAAAAAAAGGCCACTTTGTGATAAAGGAAGAAAGAAAAAGTACTGGATGACTTTGAGGACTCAGTTACTTTAGTCAGTGTTCCGTCTATAGCGCAAGCTTCAACCAACCAATCAAAATTTTTAAAAAAGTAATAATAATTAAAAAATGAAATCCTGCTGATCTGTCCTTTTTAAAACTGTGAAAGTAATTCTGATCAGCAACAAGAGTGAAACGAGTGCCTTATTCAAAGTACATGTGATCTGGACAGGCTGGAGAGCTGGGCAAAGGGGAACCTCATGAAGTTCAATAAGGACAAGTGTAGAGTCCTGCACCTGGGGAGGAATAACACCAGGCACCAGTACAGATTAGGGGACGTCCTGCTGGAAAGCAGCTCCGTGGAGAAAGACCTTGGAGTCCTAGTGGACAGCCAGTTGTCCATGGGACAGCAGTGTGCCCTTGTGGCCAAGAGGGCCAATGGGATCCTGGGGTGCATTAAGAAAAGTTTGTCCAGCAGGTCTAGGGAGGCTCTCCTGCCCCTCTGCTCTGCCCTGGTGAGACCACATCTGGAATCCTGTGTCCAGTTTTGGGCTCCTCAACTCAAGAGAGACAGGGACCTACTGGAGAGAGTCTGACGGAGAGCTATGAGGATGATCAAGGGACTTGAACATCTCTTCTCTGAAGAGAGACTGAGAGAACTGGGGCTGTTTAGTCTTGAAAAGAGAAGGCTGAGAGGGGACCTTATTAACGTATATAAATACCTGAAAGGCGGTTGTCACGAGAAGGATGCTGGTCTCTTTACAGTGATGCCCAGTGATGTCCAGGACAAGGAGTAATGGGTGTAAGCTAGAACATAGGAAGGTCTGCCTCAACATGAGGAGAAACTTCTTTACTGTGAGGGTGACAGAGCACTGGCACAGGCTGCCCAGAGAGGTTGTGGAGTCTCCTTCTCTGGAGACTTTCAAAACCTGCCTGGATGCGTTCCTGTGTGGCTGCCCTAGGGGATCCTGCTCTGGCAGGGGGGTTGGACTAGATGATATCTAGAGGTCCCTTCCAACTCCGAACATTCTCTGATTCTGTTCTGATCTTAAAAATGTCTTCCTGGCTTTGCAAGGGAATGGCTGAGATCTTTCTGGCCCATAGTTGTCTTCCTGGGTGGTAGCAGAGTTGCCTGTGAGATATGCTTTTATTACTATCATTATTTTCATTGAGAAGATAAAGCTGCCTAAAAAAGAAAATCAGGACAAGTACACTGTAACCCCTTCTACTTACACAGAGAGAGAGGCTTGAGAAGTGAGAGTCTTTGTTGACAGAACTTCATACTTATTTAAAACTACATCTGAAGCGACATGCCTGAATTCCCAGCTGATCCCAGTGGAGCCTTTCGCCATCTATAGTGTTTTAACTTGCTGCTGTTGCCACTCTTTCTGGAGAAAGCGTAGGAAAACCAGCTTTACGGTAATCCTGTCTGTGATATGTTGCATTTGTTTCTGTCATGGAATTGTAAGCACATGTTTTGCGTAGTGAGAGATGTGATTATGCCATGGGAATACACTTCCTACTGATACTGAGGAATCCAGTGTTTAGGAACTGTCTGCAGGGAGATGAATTAACTAGGAGGCTACATTGGAGAGGTCCATGACTTCCAGTGGGTGATGGGGGGACAACAGCCCACAGAGTTGGTAGAGTCTCCTTCTCTGGAGATATTCAAAACCTACCTGGACATGTTCCTGTGTGACCTGCGCTAGATGATCCTACTTTCATAGCGGGGTTAGACTAGATGATCTTTTGAGGTCCCTTCCAGCCCCTAAGGGTCTGTGATTTTGTGTGATCCTGTGTTGTGTATGGTATGTTCAGTGGTGAACAATCAAGCATGACGGGGGGAGGAATTAGATCTCGCTGCCTTTTGGCACCTTGTGTTGAAGCTAGAAATGTCTGCCTTTTTTCTGGAGTGTGGAGTTGGAAACATTTCCAGTGGAATTCTGAAACTAATTCTGCTTTATTTGCAGCTTAGTCATTTCTCCATGATATGATTATTAATGGGACAAAAAGAGATCCTTGAACAAGCATTTCAGTCTCTCTCATTGTTAATGTTTGCAGCTCAAGTCCAATCCTAGCAATAACGAGGAAAAAGAAGCTCAGACTCAGCTGACAAAATCTGATGAGCTACAGCGCCTGCATTCACAAGTGGTATCTGCCTACCAGCAGGAGGATTACGAAACTGCTATTTCTCTTCTTGATGAAATCTTAGCAGTAAGTGTTAAGTAAAATGGCTCTGCAAAAGGGAAGTTAGAGCTCCTGTCTGACAGTGGTGTGTTTTTGTTTAATAACTTCTTTGCTCATGTGAAAATACTCGATGTAGTTGGCACGGTTTTGCTGAGCACTGTGAGTCCATAATGAAGTTGAAGAGTGGAGAATGCTGAGCACTAGCTGCAAGAAAAAGTCAAAATAATAGCTTGTAGTTCAGTTTAAAGATACAACTTTAGCCAGACTTCTATCACGGATAGCTTTCTTGATTATACTTCCCCATTTTTTCCACAGTTTGCCATTTTTGGGGAAGCTTGGAAAAAAGTTCTTGTCAAACCTGTGAAGTTTTGCCAAATGTAGATGGTGTAGGTTTTTTTTTAATCTAGATTTTTCATTGCCTGTATGCAGGCAATTTTTATTTTGAAAAAATGAAGTAACTAAAGATGAAAAAAACTCACCCCACACAGTTAAAAATGTGCATAGCTATCTGGATTTTCAGTTTGTCTCTTATATCTGTATTTGTTGAATCAGTATAGGTAGGCTAGTAGTGTAAGTGTAAATAACTCAGTCACGTGGGCATTTTGTATGTTGTAGAGAAATATATTAAAAGACAGTTAACTGTGATGACTCTTCCCATACAAATTAACGCTGCTGACTTGGAATTTACAGTGTTCTAGCTTTTGGTGAAGAAACTGCCAAAGTGTGGGAGTTTCTTTATGGGGAGAGAACATGGAAGAACAGACAAGTCTCCCTCTCTAAAATGATGATTTACAACAAATGATAAGACCCAGAATGCATGCTCTAAAACAAATTGTGGTAGACAATTCCTTTTAAGTAATTATGCTTGCCATAGTGTGACATTGTTACTTCTGCATATGTCTTGAAAAATCCAAATACTGAGGTCAAATTCAGCTTGCACAGCTCAGTCTTACCCCCAGGCTCCCTTCTAGAGGACAACTGACAGCTTAGTCCTTGCTGTTCATTACCCTCCTTCTTTTGGGAAGATACAACAATTTATGGTTCTGATATCTTTCCCTGGAGGCTCAACAGACTGTCCCAGCTTAAGCAGTGCTGGTGGATTTAATTCATCTCCCTGCATGAGCTCATTGAATCATTTACAAATTTTTCAGGCCTTTGTTTTCTGTTTGAGCAGGTGCATCACAGCATCCACCAGGAAGCAGAGATGCTAATTTCATGTGCTCTGCATGCGGCTTGAACCTTATGCTGTTGCATTTGGCAAAGTGAAATTAAATGGGATTTTTCTTTTGTTGGGGAGGAAAAGAAGTGAAGTGTTATGGACCAAAAACAAGCTTTAATTTTGATTTCTCAAGGTTTGTGTTTGGGATGCAGAGCTACGGGAACTTCGAGCCGAGTGTTACATAAAGGAAGGGGAACCAGGCAAAGCCATTAGTGACTTGAAAGCTGCTGCCAAATTAAAGAACGATAACACTGAAGCCTTCTATAAAATCAGCAGAATATATTATCAGCTGGGGGACCATGAATTATCACTCAGGTAATTTTACTGTTTGCTGTAATCATTACAACTGAAACAGGAAATGTGATGACGTAGGCGATGGCAAACCGTGAAATATCTATGTCGTCTGGTTTTTGGATGGAACAGCAGCTTTGGTCTGAATCTGATAAAAGAAGCTCCTTTCCAGAAGTTAAGAAGTGACAGTGAAGACACTGTGCTGAATCTTGGCAGATCAGCCTTCGATGGTTCCTGGCATCTTGTGTGGGTCTGTCAGAGTTGCTCCCGTTTACTGTCTGTGTTGTGTTTCTCCATCCTAGAGGAAAGCGCTTCTCTTTAAAAGAAGGCTCCACCAAATCAAGTTTACCTTGAGCCCCCACCCTTCAAGTTAAGTTTACAGCACAAAAAAAATGTATGTGTTAAGTCTTAAGGCTAGATTTTGGTTCTGCTCTTGGAAAGGAAAAGGTTACAAGCTTAAGTATAAAGTACAGGAGCATTCAGGTGTGACGAGCTTGTGATCCAGAGCTGTCAGTCTCATTCTTGCAGTGTCCAATATTTTGGACACTCTCCCTTTATTCATATTCAATTAGGTTTAAGGTAGTGTCCCCATGCGTCCCTCATCAGTCCTACAGGTAACCTTGCCCACTCTGGACTGTTCACTTCTTACTCTGTGCTCAGCTGCACAGGTGGTATCATAATTTTGAAGGTTTTTTTGCACACAAGTGATTTACATGCAGCTCATCTCAGATGCACCACCTTCACCTCCAGACTCCTTCCAGTATGATTTCTGCCGCAGCATCTGTTCAGTAAGAGGAGAAGGGAACTGATAAAGGCTGAGTTTCTTCTGTTGGCTGATGGATGAAAACGGCATGTGATTTATAATTGCAAAAACAAAATGGACAAAAGTAAACACTGAATAACTAACTTGTTTGCATTAGGCATCCCCTTTCCAGAGTACACTTAATCTCTGGAGTCTGTAGGTTGCCTCTGTGGTGACACTTGGTAGCTGGCCATTGCCTAGTATAGTCCTTTCAAAAGTAAGTGGTTTTGGTTAATCTCTGGAGTCCGTAGGTTGCCTCTGGTGACTTTTGGTAGCTGGCCATCGCTTAGTATAGTCCTTTCAAAAGTAAGTGGTTTTGGTTTTTTTTCTCTGAAATCTACACATGGACTTCTTTTGTTGATAACTAGATATTAAGATTTTTATAAGTACAATTAATTGAGAGCGTTGATAACCAAATTCTTAAGATTTTTATAAGTACAATTAATTGAGAGAGCTGTTGAAGAACAGAATGGTATCAGAGTAAAGAAATGAGACTCTATTCTTCTCCAATACTTTTTTTTTTCCCTCTTTTTTTTTGCATTGTAAGATACATTAAGAAAGAGTTTTATAGCTCTTGGAGTTGCTTGGTGATTAATCTTGGTTTTCTCTTAGTTTCTTCCTGTTACTTTTGAAGGCTTAATGATTTAGTAATAATAGATATTTTTGTCTGTGCTTAGGAACAAAATAAAATTGTGATCTCTTTGTGAAAAAGAGATTGTTGTGCTGCGGTGACTCTTGATAGAAAACCATTCATGCTGCATTCTGGAGGTTGTTGGTTTGTTGGTTTTTTTTAAAGACTTTTGACCTTTTTAAGAAGTATCTGCCCTAATCAGAGTCTGATTAAACAGACTTCCCAGTGAAAGTTGGACTCAGACTTGGCTCAGATTCCATCAAGGGGAGGTTTGAGTCTTTGCTCAGCTTCGTCTGGTTTAGGCAGCCTAAAATATGCTTCTACGCAGGTATTTTTGTAGTACAGCTGAGTTATAACGGATTGTCTTTTCCTATGTGTTTATCTGATAACTGCTGAATATAATTTCTTTCTTAGAGTATATTTTTCTTCTGCTGTTTAGTCAGTTTTAAATATAACACTTCTCAATCTTTGCATATTTGGCAATATAAAATAATTGAACACAACAGCAGACAAGTATCCCTGTATGTTATGGAAGGCTTTTTTGGTCTCGCTTTAGATTCATTTTTGGAGGATGGAGGAGATTTTGTGTTAAGAAGTCAGCTGTTAGATGCTGCATTGTGTCTCTAGGCGAAATTCTGTCATGCGTGGTGACATCTTTCTGTTTTGTTCTGCTTTTTGTCCTCCCTAAATCCCTGTGAAAAGTGAAGTCCGGGAGTGTCTGAAACTGGACCAAGACCATAAACAATGCTTCTCCCTCTATAAGCAAGTGAAGAAACTCAATAAGCAGATTGAGTCAGCAGAGGAATTCATCAGAGAAGGCAGGTAAGTGTTCACTGTTGTATTTAAAAGAAAAAAAAAAAGAGAGAGACAAAATCACTGCTGAGGCACCAGCTTATTATTGATTGAGGAGTTGATTAAGTGATGCTTTTTTGCATCTGTCAGCTGAAGTGGATAACTGAGCACAGCTCTCAAATTACAATTAAAATAAATATTGACTCACATAGTGACAATCCTGTTCTAATTCCTCTGATGCCGCTGTCTTCTCTTTGCATACTTAACTCTTTACAGAGCAAATAATACAACCAAGATAGGGATGATGTTTGTGAGCTCTCATGTTGGCACTGAGCAATAATGAGGCCACACCTGAAGCGCTGGGTTCTCCTGGTACAGGGGAGGTGAAGCTCCCGAGAAAGAAAGTCCAGTGAAGCGCCACTGAGATGATGGAGGGACTGGAGCATCTCTCACCTGTGAGGAAAGGCTGAGAGAGCTGGAACTGTTCCCCTGAGCCTTCTCTGCTGCAGGATGATCTCATCAAGGTCTATAAATACCTGACGGGAGGATAGGAAGAGAGTGGAGCCCAGCTTCTCCTGATGGTGCCCGGTGACAGGAGCAGGGTGAATGGGCGCAAACCGAAACAGGAAATGCCATTTGAACACAGGGAAATGCTTCCCACCACGCCCTCTTTTCTGCTGATGCAGGTTGCCCAGAGAGGTGGTGGAGTCTCCCCACTTTGAAGATGTTCAGAATTCATCTGGACATGGGCCAGGGCAACTGGTGGCCGTGCTTGAGCAGAGGGGTTGGACAAGATGACCTCCAGAAGTCACTTCCAACCTCAACTATTCTGGATTAAAGGACCATATCGAAAGACCAAAGCCCCCAGTAACTCTTTAGGGCTTCGACAGCAAAAATAGATCTGGCTGATGGGCTTTATTTATGCACCCTATTAAATGATAGACGATGCCTCTGTTTTCTTCTACTTGTTTTATTTCAGTTTTGCGTGTTCCCAAGTGCATGATGTCCCACTGTAAGGACCCCTAAGGAGCAATTAATCATTGTCAGGGTGACTTTTTAAAATGAAGTATACTGGAAATATGAGTTGGCAAAACTGAAGACAGTTTTATTGTCAGCAGTGTGTTTGGACTCTTTTCACTTTAGTCTCCTCAGTGTCAGCACGTTTTCAGGGAGGCTTCTGAGAGCCTGAACTGCTTCTAGCAACCCATGGGTTCAGTCACATTTTCAGGTTAATGTTCCAATCCATTACTTACTCAGACCATGGAACTCCAGCATCTTTGAAACCTTCACAGCAAAAACGCATTTTATACTCTGTGACTTGCAGAGAAAAAGGAAGGGGGAGGACAACTGCCCCGTTTAAGCTGGCATAAAGAACTTTTTTTCTTTTTTGCACTGAGAAATTCAAATACTACAGTGCTCACAGCAAGACTCCAGTCTTTGGTCCATCTCAGATTCAGAGAGGGAGATGTTTTTGGCACGTGCAGAGTGGTGCGTTGGGCAGGAGGCAAATGTAGAGAGACTGTTGTCTTTGTGGTGAGGGGTGGAAGTTGTTGCCTTCTGCGAGAGCTTGCCAGGCATAGTGCCTGCTCTTCTGTCTCCTGGCATGGAAAAGGGAATGGGGATGTAGTTCTCGAAGTGGCTCAAAGTTTTCTTCAGTGTTGTCTAACACCACACCTCTAAGAGTATTAACGTTAAGGTACGTTGCACAAAGGATGTAAAAAGCTGTGAATTTAAAAATTTGTAAATAAATCACAACAGCTGGAAATAGTACATTTCATAATAACGTACTTATCTTTGATTGAAACAGGTACGAAGATGCTATCAATAAATATGATTCTGTAATGAAAACTGAGCCAGAAGTTCCAATTTATGCTACTCGTGCCAAAGAAAGGATCTGCCACTGTTTATCAAAGGTAATTCTGCTTATTTCCCTCTGTGAATTCCTTGAAAACAAACAAATCTTCCCTCCCCACTGCCCCCGCATCCCGAATCCCCCACAGCTGCGTGAATTTTGTTTTACTTTCTCCTCTCCAGAATCAGCAAGCTCCAGAAGCCATAAAAGTTTGTACAGAAGTTCTGCAGCTGGAACCAAACAACGTGAATGCCCTGAAAGACAGAGCAGAAGCTTATTTGCTAGAAGACCTGTATGAGGAAGGTACAGTTGTGTGCAGTTCACACGCTCTTTTTTTGGGAGGGCGGCATTTAAAATGCAATTGGTGTATCAAATTTTTTTTTAACTTGCACTTTGATTCTATACTGTGTTGTTATCCCTAATCAGCACTGGTAGTTGCACATTTACAAAAATATCTGCTGGTAATTTTTATCTTGATTAGCATGAGTGAGACGTACTTGTTTTATCTATAGCGGAGTCATCTTTACAGCAGTGGGCTGCGTTTGGGATGTTTTAGGAGCCTGTACCGCTTACTCAAACACGTTTTATATAATCAGCAATGTCAGACAACTGCATTTAGAGATAGAAAGTAATTACAGTTAGGGTGATGTAAATCCATTTTAGGAACTCCATTTTAACTTCTTTAGATGGCAGCATGAAACAATACTGTTCCATCCCCTAGTGTAGGTTGGGGGCAGAGGGTGATGACGACCACTGCTTCACCCCCGTGCATCTCTGTAGTGCTGCTAAAACCACTGAACTGATTCCACTCTTGAGGATGCATTTTCCATGTGGGACTTCCATAAAATGCACGCTGGGATGTGGTGACATCTACAGCCTTGGAAAGCAGGGACTGAGTAACAAGCGTCTCAGAGCACACTGTTACGTAGCTTCTTTAAGACTACCAAGTGGTAATGTGCTCTTAAAAAAAAAATAGTCAGAATTTAATTTAGTGAGTCTTGTTTCCACAAGAAACCAGGCTTAGGAAGGAAATCTGGACAATCTGTTCCACTTTCATTCTCAGTCATGCAATAGTTTTTGAAGCATTGGGCTGTTTCAGTCAAACGTGGTAAGGGAAAGGACTTGTAGGCTTTAAATCTTCCCCAAACCGGTTCCATTAATTATAGTACTCATAGGACAATTTTTATTTTTTTGTGTTCTGCTACTGGATCTTTGGCTTTACAACTGAACAAAAATCTGTTTGATTTAAACATTCATAAGGTAGCTGCTCTCGTTAAAAATATGCTCATTTTGGGGGGCCTTTTTTGAGAAATTAATCACTGAGATGTTACTGTTCACCTCTTGAAGTCCACTTCAAAAATGAAATACCCATTTTGTTCTTTTTTTAGGCCTCCTTGACTCAAATGAAAACACGGTATAAAGAGGACTAAAGTGGTTTCAGGCACTTCTCTTCATCAGCACTGTAGGCTTTGTGCCCCTGAAGTGACTCAGTCCTAGTCCCTCTTTGCTGAGGGTGGCAGCCTTCCTTGTGCCTATAAGAAAAAGGGTGGAAAACAGCAGCATTTAGGAAAACTATGACCTTTGCAGAAAGGGATTACTTAAAAAAAACCCCCACAACAAACCCATTCTGTGAAGAAAAACTATCTTTTGTTTTTCTTAGGATAATTTGTTTCTTTTTTTTTCTCTTTGAATTGTTGAGAACTGCAGTGTCAACCTACAAGTAAATCTCGGGAAGATCTGACAGTGATGAGGCCCCATTTGGGCATTTCTCTGTCCTATCCCATACTTCACTCCAGTGGAAATAAGTTTGGCCAGGTTGGGAAAGGCAGGTTTACAAATGAATAAAAAAACCCCCTCACTTCCCTAAAAATCCTTGAAGGTGCTGAATACAAATCTACATAACTTATGACTTCTGCAGAGATTTTTAGTTTAAGAGAAAGGAGTATCAGCAAAAGAATGCAAAAAAAATCTTAAGATTATTTTTTCCCTTCAGGGCAAAGAATTGTCTGCTTAGAGGAGGGCGCAGGGAGGGGCAGGCCAAACAGGCCCTGCTGTGAGTCCCCATACATGTCCATTTTGCTAGTGGACAGAATTGATCTGTTTTTTTGAAATGGATGAATCTCCATTTGGATGTTTCTGTCATTCTATGAAACCCTCATCTACTTCTGGTTTCTCTACGGTGAGAGAATCTGGCAACATTTGCAAAGTGGAGGGGAGAAAAAAATAGTTCTGTAGCAAGGTCTCACACAAACGCAGGGAGCCAGCTTGGCCTTGTGCTGGAGCAAACGCCTCCCCGTTACGCGATACAACGAAACACGGAGAAGGACGCAGCTGGGAGAGGTGATTTCCTGGCTGGAGCCTGCTGGGCTTGGCCTGGAGTGGACAAGTGTGCTGGAGTGGAACCATTTTCCACCAAACCCCTGCTCTTAGCGCATCCCTGGCCTTCCTCCGTGCCTTCCAGCAGAGCCTCCATAAACAGTATTATAGCCCATTAATGGTAGTCTGCCTCAAGGGGTCTTCGCTCACCCTTCAGTTTTAACTGCGATAAAATGATGGCTGATGCCTCTCTGCTGTAGAGAGCAGCAGAGCAATTAAAATTGTAGCCTCGTATTTAAAGGGGCGAACTGACTCTTGTTCTTCCCTAAAGAAAATTTTTAAGCTGGAGGCACCTATTTTCCTCTTTAAAGACAGGAAATTGTGAAGTAGTTGTCATTCAGAACTTTGAAGGTGATTATTGTTAAATGTTCAAGATGCACTTCAGAGTTCTGATTCCCATCAAACGGTTTTAATTACTTTATAATCACATGGGATCCAGGGCTTGTCTGCTGAGACAGATGTATAATGACTCCCTTATCTGACTTACCTCCTCAGCACAGGAATTTGGCTGAAGAACACTGCACGAATTTTGTCTGAGAAGAGAAAAACCACCTTGCTGTTTCAAAATTGGTCAGGATAGTTCATTTATTTATTTGAATGTACTTTTTATTTCCTCCCCACCCTACTACTTTGGAGGAAACAGTTCCTATTTCATTAAGAGCATAACTGGTTGACTTACTCCTTTAAGAGAGTTGGCATGGGCACAGGTTGTCTGCAGTTATTCGTGTTTGATAGGAAATTGATTCTGCGTGTGGAACAACAGCCTACCTTGGTCACTCTTTTTATAAAAAAAAAGAAGATAGGAAATCCAGCTAAAGCGTTTAGAGATACGATGTGATCGCTGTTTGAGAGATTGTGAAGACTCTTATTGAAAAGATCTGACTAAATTATTTAAATTGAAAGTGATACTGGAAACAGGTTGTTCCTTTCCTGTCGTGGGACAGGATTGAAAGAAGAAAAGTTGCTGTCTGAAACAACAGGCCAGTAAACAGCAGCCGTGATTCTTGGGTTGGTTTGTGAGGTACGAGTGCTTTTAGAAATCGTAACTGAGAAGAATTGATGAAATATCTCACTCAACATACTATGAATTAATTTAGAGCAAACTTCTTGTGGTGAGGAAGCTCTTGTCCTGCTTCCAACCCTCACCCCTCAGGTGAGGAGAACAACTAGATCTCTGAAATTCCTACACTGGAGAGTACCAGCAAAACAGAAGTTTCTTCAGACTGAGAGAAAGCACAAAAGAAACTCGCCGTCAGGTGTGCTGGGTGCGTTCCCGCTGTGGTGTGCAGCACTGAAAAACGCGCCTTCCCTTACGGTTGCAGAGGGTGCAGAGAAGGGCAACAAGGCTTGTGAGAGGTCTGGAAAACATGCCCTATGAAGAGCGGCTGAGGGAGCTGGGTTTGTTTAGTCTGGAGAAGAGGAGGCTGAGAGGAGACCTTATTGCCCTCTACAACTACCTAAAAGGAGGCTGTAGTGAGGCTGGTGCTGGTCTCTAATTACTAATGACAGGACAAGGGGAAATGGCCTCAAGTTGCGTCAGGGTAAGTTTAGATTGGATATTCGGGGGAAGTACTTTACTGAACGAGTGGTGAGGCACTGGAACAGGCTGCCCAGGGAGGTGGTGGAGTCACCAACCCTGGAGGTGTTTAAAAAAACAGTAGATCTAGCACTTGAGGCTATGGTGTAGTGGTTAGGTATGCTGGGATGAAGGTTGGACTAGATGATCTTCAGAGTTCCCTTCCAACCCCTAACATTCTGTGATTCTGTGATTAACGCTTGCAGCCTTTAAGTAAGGGAGTTGATTTAAGAAAAGAGAAGTCTGGTGCTGTCGTTGCAGCTGCTGGATCCTTGAGCAGCTTGGTTTCCAGCACTGGTGTAGATGCTGTAGATGACTTGGCGCTCAGTGAAGGGGAGCGATCTGATCTGCGCTCGGCAGGACGCTGTGATGGGACCTCCCATTACTATGTGGACCTGATTAAGGACGTTGGTGCTTAAAATTCTTGGAGTGGTAGAGCAGTGTAATCTCTGCATTTTCATTATTTGCATTTTCACTATTTTTATGAGCATATATTGGGGCACACGCGTTTAGTGCACGCTCGCTTTTGTTGGTGTGGACAAATTATTAAAAATACCAGCAGAAGCCAGAATACTTTGTTTAGTCAGCAAGTGATGGTGTCCAGTGATGTGAAAACGAACAGAATTTTGTTTTGTTTGTAATGGCATATGAAATTGAGGCACTGGAAATAGTTTTTCTTTTTTTTTTTTTTTAATTTTTCACTGACCAAACCAAGACTGCAGTGGTATCAGATGTCTGGGTAATACAAATTCATTAGCACTTCCTGCTGTCTTGCTCAGAAACAGCGAAAAACAAATGTAACACCTGCTGAGAAATAGCATCTGCTTGGAAATAATCTGATGTGAGTACTTTGAGAAACCTTGGAGTCTTGGATCTGCAAATGAGACCTTGAGGATTAGAGCACTGAAAGAGGAGCAGTCTCATTAAAGACTTCAACAGTTGCTTCTCTGGATAAATCTTGGTATCAAAGAATATTTAAACTTGGTGTCTTAAGCAATCATTTACCATTGAAAATAACAATATGTTTTACTTGAAAAACCAAAGAAGTTACACCTGGAATTTCTTAAAAATTCATGAACCTATTACAGCATTTCTCTTGCTTTCATTCCTGAGAAATGTAACTCTTGAAATAAAAGCGAGAGCATGCCTTTGGAAAAAAAAATAATTTTAAAATAGAGCTAACTGTCTGCATATTACATGGAGGTGCAAAAAGCAAATATTTGTCTTTCACCAAGAGTGTGAACCTACTGGTAATATGAAATCCACCTCTGTTGTCATGAAAGAGGAAGAAGAGGCTTTCTAGTGTGTCAATTGCATGCAGATTGGGAGAAGAAGGAATATTAATTAAAGGACTCCCATGTGTTGCCTGATCTAGCTGAGAGGCGTCCCTGCCCATGACAGGGAGGTTGGATTAAATGACCTCTAAGGTCCCTTCCAGCCTAGGCCAGTCTATGACTCTGTACAATGGATCCTTCAGTTGAACCGCAGTGTGGGACTGGCAGCGTGCAGTGGGCTCATCAAAGACTGGCTGCTGAAACTTGATTCTTGATTTCTCTTTCGTCCCGGTCCTGGTTGCTCATTATGTTCATCCACGTGACTGCTGTAACATCTAGAGAGTGTTCAGACCTACTGCTGGTAACATCCCTTCTCCTTTCTTTCCAAGATGAAAGAAAATTACCTAATTTATGTGTGAAAATGACTCTTCTGCAAGTTTTTCTAATTTGGAAAAAAAAAAACCCCACAACATGACAAGTTGAAATAAAAGTTTTGCTGTTGGTATAAGGTAATAGCAAAACATCAGCGTTGGTGAGTGATTGAGTTCTTAAAACGGAAGCTTGTAAAGAGTTGTGTAATCTTTTTTTCATTTGCTTTTTTTTTAAATAAAAGCCATTAAAGACTATGAGACTGCTCAAGCCAATAGTGAAAATGACCAGCAGATTCGGGAGGGGCTAGAACGTGCCCAGAGGATGCTGAAGCAATCACAGAAGAGGGATTACTATAAAATCTTAGGAGTAAAAAGGTGAGATATTAGTATCTGAGATGATGATGATGGGGAAGTTGGTTATTAAACCTGTACAGCTAGGGCAAATCACTTGACTTTCTTCTGCAGAGTATCAGTTTTTGTTCCTGTATCTTGCTGCCTTTACTTTCCTCCTGCATTAGTTTAGCAGTGTTCCCAATTTGTTTTCACCCTTTCTAAGGGAATTGTAAAAGCAACGTTGGGAGGGAAGGAAGTCTGTCCCTCAGCAAGAACATTTTTACTATAGGTAATCACGAGTCAGGTGAACGAATTGGGGAAGAAATAAAGACTGGAAAGAATTACTGAAAACAGCAAAAAATAAAATTGTGACAGAGCAATAGATTTGGAAGAGTTTGAAAGGACCAAGTGAAAGGTATCTAAAATATTTCTGCCATTAACCTTGAGAAACCAGTGCCTCCTCTTTCTGATGAGGGCCAAAGAGATGTCCAGTTCTGAATTAGCATTGATCATCCTAGGGGGGTTGGACTTAGGTGATCTCTAGAGATCTCTTCTAAAGCCTGACATTCTGCGATCCTACGATTCTTACAGGCAGGAACTAATCTGATCTCTAGTTTCTGTGCTTTTTGTTACTCCCTTGGTTGTAAATTCTTTAGAGCAGGAACTGTGTTCTCCACAGTGGCTGCCAGCAGCACCTTTCCAAAGAAAGTGGATGGGTGATGAAGGATAGAATCTTTGTTTAAAGTTGCAACCTGTTTCCTCTGGGGTTTTTTGTGTATGTAAAGAATTTTCGTGTCACCCCCAGAAGGTTAACTATCGCCTCTTCATTTTCCTCATGCCCTTAGTTACTGTCTCAGTGTTTAAAATAAACCTGTAGATTCACTAGTGTGGCATATGAACAGTTAGAAAACTATGTTATCTATAATTTTGTCCATGTAGAAATGCTCGAAAGCAAGAGATCATAAAAGCCTACAGAAAGCTGGCGTCCCAGTGGCACCCAGATAACTTCCAGACTGAGGAAGAAAAGAAGAAAGCAGAGAAGAAATTCATTGATATAGCAGCTGCTAAAGAAGTCCTCACTGACCCAGGTAAGGACTGTTCTCATGCAATGACCTTTTTTTTTTTTTTAACTACATTTTTACAATGAAGTAAAAATGCAACGATACTGGAATTTAATGGTTGCGAAGAATTGGCAGGATGCAGCGTGATCCGTCCTCAGACCATCCCACGTGAGTGCAGCTGGGAGAGAAAAGGCCCAATAAAATCATCCAGGACAAAAGATCCCAAATATCTGTGCGACACAGTAGGTCAAAGTACAACTGTCCTATCTCTGTTGAAATTCGTACTCGCCCTGTTGGACAACCACATCCTGTCTTGCCTTGTTTTACACTAAATGACTTGTTTAAGTAGTTTTGCCCAGTGTTTTTCACGGAGTTAGTCTCTTCTGCCCTTCCAGTCTCTTGGACAGCTTTGAAGTATTGAAGTTCTGCAGATGGTGCCCGTACAAGTGATAACTGCAGCTCTCTGGCCTGGGGGGTTATGGGTTGGTTATCAAGCACCAGAGATATTTTGTGTTACTGCCTTAATTATGGCGCCGTGATTCCACCTTGGTTTTGTCTCCTCCAGAAATGAGGCGGAAGTTCGACGCAGGAGAGGACCCGCTGGATGCCGAGAGTCAGCAGGGCGGAGGCAACCCTTTCCACAGGAACTGGAACACGTGGCAAGGATTCAACCCCTTTGGTTCCGGAGGAGGACCGTTCACATTCAAATTTCACTTCAGTTAGAGCCAAGACTGCTGCTGGCTGCTGCTGTTTTTTACTTAATTCGTTGAAAAATAAAAAGTCTCTCGGTTCAAGACCCTAAAAATCTTAATTTCTAATGTTGTCCTTAACCCAGAGTCTTACTGCACTAGAGGGAAGCTCCTTCTTTCTTTTAGGATTTGGAGGGTTTGCTTTGTGGTGAACTTGACGAGCTCATACTGGTTGGGGGATTTGTTACTGCCTGAGTATTGTTGTGGATACACAGGACATGTTTATTCCTACAGATGGAAAAAAAAAACAGTAAGAAGCTTCTTAGGACAACATTTAAACATAAATTTAGGACTCAAGTATATGCTTAAAGGTAAAAATGCATGTAAATATTTTTCTGAATCGGGGCCTAATAAATACGGGAAGGGTAGTTACAGTAGTCTCTCCGTTAACAAGTTGTTAGTCATCGTGCTCGGCAGAATGATCCATCTCTCAGTATTCTTAAAAGGAAACCCTCACGCCTGCCTGTCACGTTACCCTCGGCAGGGCCGGAGGTGGGGTGAAGAGGCCGCGGCGCTGGATGCGCCCGAATGATTGCTCCGGAAAGAAGAACTCCTGTCACTGATGGTCTTTGAAAATGTCTGCTCCCTGTATTCATTAACCTGAAATGAACTGGGGTGATTTCCTTGGCAGTAGTTGTCAGTTATGAAAGTAGTAACACGTATCTGATGTTTTTTGAAAGACTTCTGCTGAGTGTGATTCGGGATGTTTAGGTATCATTTTTTTGAGTGGTTTGCACTTTAGCAAAGTACCTGCTTGAGAATCGAGCGGAAAAATTTGACATGGTGTTTCCCCAACTACGCAGTAATTTGTTACTTCTCTTTACATAAACGCGGAATGGATGCCGGTTGTGGGGTGAATGTGCCGCGGGATGTAGGAATCCAGTGTTAACTCCAGCCTTACCCCGTAACACAACTTCCTTGCTGCTGGGTGATGCAACAGCGAGTTAACACAGTGTGAAACTATTTAAATTAATTTCACGTTTTGGTTAAGAGCCACGGTACTGCAAAAAAAAACTGCGTGCAAAAAGAGGGACTAAGTTCCCATTAGTCAGAAGTCTGCTTGATTTTTTTCTGTGTGCATGGAGCTAAAATTGATTCAGTGTAATGGATTGAACTGTGCAAATGCGATGTGAGGTATTACCGGGCCTGTGGCTGTCTGGGTCTTCTTGGTCTGTCACCAAATATATCAAAATTACTGATTAGTTTCTTCAGCAGCCATTTTCTTAGAACGCAAGAATTACAGTTCGCCAATGTTTCCTTGATTGGATTTTAACTGGAAAACAATAATCAGCTGATGGGAGTCTTCTCTCACTTTAACTCATGGCATTTGAAAGCATAAGCGGCCTCAGTAAAGCAAATGAAATTAGCAAATAAGGCCTTCAGTTTGAAAGTGGTTTGGTTGGTTGTTTTTTTTTATTGCTGTAGGCAAAGTTGCTATTGAACATAACCCTTGTCTCCTGCCTCAAGTACTTTGCAAACATCATTGTGAGGCCATGGGGCTTCAGAAAATGTTTCTAAAAGCAATTTAAGGGTCAGTGTTTGTTTAGCAGGAATCTTCTAGCTGAAGCATGTATGTGGTGATTTCTAACAGTTTTATGGTACAAAAACACCCCAGCAGCGTGTTCAAAAACTCCAGGGTCGGGTATTTCCCAAGCTGAATTTTCCCAGGCTGTCGGGTATTTTCCCAAGCTTCTGCTTTTGACCTGTCCGAGAGCTTTTAGCTTAAACTCCATAGAAGGTGCTCAGGACCCTGTTCACGCCGCTCTAGGTTCTCACAGGACCTCTAGGGCTCAGAGGAACCTGCTGCACCCCATGGTAGCAGCCAGTGGGTTGTTCTTATGGTGGGTAGCGGGAGAGCAGGAGCTGTCACGCAGGACGGCCTCTTCCGGCTGTCATTGGCCCCTCTTGTCCCAGGAAGGGGATGTGCTGGACCCAACGACTCCTCGGTGCTGGCTGGGCAGCTGCTGCAGGATTTGCCGGTTGTAGGGGTGCGATGGTGCAGGAGCCACTGCGCTGTGTACATGGTTGTATGTTGCATTGTTCACTGCAGGGTGTTCTGGTTTTAAATTACTTTTGAATGACCAGTGCGAGCAGCCTGTTGGGTTTTGTACCGGCACGAGTGGTGCTCAGTTTTGCAAAATCACAGTAAACCCCAGACAGCTTTTGGGGGGGTGTGTGGTGGGGAAGTGCTAGAAATGATCCATCTTCTTTTTACAGGACTACCCTTGTTCAGCTTTTTTTTCATTCTCATCCACCTCCTTTCTCTGTTTTAAAAGCAGTAGCTGCGGACATTTTTTCCTGGTTTTCAATTTTTTTCTTTTTATGGAAGGAATAGGATGGTCCCTCACAAGTCAATTATTCATATAAGCACTGCAGATTTGTTTCTGCAGGGCAACAGACAGTTCTGCTGTACATGGGAAGGAGTCAGGAGAGCAAAAAAAATATTATGGTTATTTTGAGAATGGACGGGAAAGGGAAAACTGCATATTTAAAAATAAATAAATAAATGTGTGAATGTAGTCAGCTGAAGAAGAAAGATTGATTCGTGAATGCCGTTCATAGATTCCTTCTGTGGAAGACTGTTTTGAAGACACAAAAATGACCACGGAGAACAAGGGTTTCTGATATTAAGCAGCTGCTGCGGACAAGAGGTGTTACCCCCTCCCCTCCAAGAGCTGTTTTTAAGGGAGCAGATGCTGCCTTTGAGCTCTAAGGTACTTCTGGAAATACAGGAAGGTGAAGTTGTGTTAAAAAGAGAAGCATTTGTGTTCCAAGGATGTCCAGAGCCAGTGGGGGACGTGTTTCCCGATGTGACCGTAGAAACTGAAGTGCTGGGAACACACTGAGCATTCACGGTGCGAGCGCTGTAGGAGGAAGCTGAACTTGCCTTTTTATTTATTAGTGGGTGTCTGTAGTGCAATAATGTTCAATAACTGAGCATTGACATAAATGTCTTGGTAGTTTGTAAACCCTGAGATGTGCATGAAACATCGTTACAGTAATTGGCCTATGCGTAGATGCGGACTTTTTTCTGTTGAATTCTCTCAGTTTTCATCAAGTAGTCTCCAATTTGTTTTAAAATGAACGTGGGGGAGAATGTTTCACGTGATAAATGCTTAATACTGATGTATTAATAAATCAGTATTAATATAGATTCAAAGTGAATTACAAATGTAAGAGCTCAAACTCATGACACAGAAAATGTGTCAGCTTAAACTTAAAAAAAAAAAAAGCTTATTACCATTTCAGTTTTCAGACCCACGTCTGGAATAAGAATTATTCTTCTGTTTCAGGCTGTGATTTGTAGAAGCTTTGCTGGAAACCAACCAGTATTGCATAGCAGGTTTGTTGTATTTAAAAGTGCCTTACTGTAAGGTATTGGTTGTTTGCTCTGTAGTGCACACTTTTATCCATAAAATAATAAACACAATGGGAGAATAATTTGTTTTTGCCCTGGGCGAATCTCAAAAGTAGCAGCTGTATGTTTTAAGAAGGAGAAGTAAAGCTAGCCAGAGATTTATCAAATGTTTCAAATGAAATGTCTTTATATGAAATCATAAATTTAAAAAGCAAGAACTGTTTTTTCTAGAACTGTGGGAATTATTTTCTGGTATTTTTCACAATAAAGATATTTATGATGACAAGAAGGCAATGCTGTGTATGTGTCTGTGTATGTGCCTGCCCTCCAAGTTGGAAGGTAGCGAGCGCTGTGCAGAACTGCAGCACCAGGCTGCCAAAATGCTGGCTCGGCAGGTACGTTAAAATTTCTGAAGCAGCTCCTACTGCAGGCGTCTGGTCCGACTGCAGTGCGTCAGCTGCAGCGTGAGGCAGCACTTGGATACTTTGCACTTGGCTTTCAGAACTCGGTTTTCCTCACTGGCTCCTGCCTGAGGCAGAGCCGAGCGGGTGGCTATCGGGGCAGGGACGTTGTTGGGGTGAATGTGGAGGACAAACTGTTGCAATATCGTACCTGGCTCTGGGCCAGGGATGCGGTTTCTGGTTTTCCACAACCCTTTCATGAGGTGTAAATCTGTGATCAGCGACATCTCCGCACCGCACAGTCTCGTGCTGTGCTGGGAAAGCCGGATGTTGCGGGGCCGTGTCCTTGGAGATAAAGCACCTCAAACGCGTAGAGAGACGGGGGGCTGTTGGGCCTGCAAGAAAGCGGGATGGGGTGGGATGACCTGTATGACTGAAGGATGGTGATGGGTGGCTCTAGGCTGTTCTGTAAAGATGAGGAAGAGGAGTCAGACTTTATGTTAAAGAGAGCCCTGAACACTCAGAAGTCAACTGTGGTGCTTGTGGAAGCTCTAGCGAGTGCCTCTGGGTCAAGATCAGAGGGGTCATCTCCAAGGGAGGCTCCCACAGGAGGCATCTGCTACTGACCTCCAGATCAAGGTGCTAAGGCACACGAAGCAATATTTGGGTTGCTTAAGCAAGCTTTGGGTCAATGGGATCTGGTTTTTATGGATGACTTAAACTTTAAAAGATTAAAAGGAATCTGAGAAATATTTTCAATACTAAACCTATTGTCCACAATACAGGTTTGTGCATTTGCTGTTAAATTTGCAAGTTGATACTAAAAAGAGTACGACCTGAAAAAACCCCACTGTAATACAACTGTGAACATAAATTGTATAAACTCTTCATATGAGCAACAGTTCAAATATTACTTAGCTTATTTACTGATTTGAACCAAGTTCTGGTAACACTTGTGTGATCCAGGATGCATTTTCTTCCCTTTCACAGGCCAGAACACACAGACTGGAAACAAGTTGCTCTCTGCATCTCTTAAGTTCTTGCCCTAGAGCGCATTCCTAATTTTGAGCATCACTGTTGCTTCCTGGCAGGCATACTTTCATCACATTAAAGACATTTTGAGGCTTGCTGCATTTTTTTTTTGGCCTTGATTCCATCAAGCAAATATTTAATGGTTACTGTATAATAAAAAAAATCAAAGAATAGAAAATAATGATTTTTTTTTCCCCAGTGGCACCTTTTAATATTTTGTACAGCATGTACAATCCATTGGTTTGGTATTAAAAATACAACAATATGCTCATGATTCAAAGTGCAGTTTTGAAGAGGTCTTTGAAAAGTGGTGAATAGATTTGCTGGACCCTCTTTGTTTTATAAACATCTCAAAAAAGAGCCTTCCTTGAAAGTATTATTATGCAAGGAACAGAAATGCTGTAAAATATTTTTTACAAATATATACAATGCTGTAGAAAATGGCATGAAAGCTTTTACATCTTCAATATAACTCCAGCAAATTACATTTTGAAAAATTATACTCTAATCATTTAAGTAATCTCAAGGAAATTGTATTTAAAGAGCCATTTCTTTTCTAAAGCCTGTAGAAGTAATCCAATTTTAAAAAGAGCAGGATGCTACAGATAAAATGAACAAGAAACCAGTGCATACATTATCCACTTTTTATACTGCATAACAGAAATTTCCCACACAGATAATTACAAGTAAGTGAAGACAAGTAAGTTTCTTAAAGATAGAAAACCTTTAACTGCTGTCCGCTTCAAGTCTGAAATTCCAAGGCAGATGGATGTGAAACGCTGCTGCAGAATAAAGAATAAAGCATCAGGATGGATTTGCAAATTTAAAGAACAAAACAACAGCGAAGGCAGTAGTAAGCAAGTGAATAATGTTATTTTCTCTGGAGTATCAATTGTTTTCCTTGTTACGGCTGGAATTTGTAGCATTGGTGTGTGTACATCTGCTAAGTCAGTTGTAAGTCCATCTGCATCGTATAAAAATACCAACTTAAAGTTCTATGGAAGAGCCCACAAGACCTCCCATGAGGATTTACTGATCATTGCTGTTGGGTTACGGAGGAAATACGTTGCTGGGTGCTTCAGACGAAGGAAATGCCCACCACAGACCTTTTTAAACTAGTATGTGACGTGGTAAAACTATTCAAAATGCATCAAGGTGATAGAATAGAAAGTGTAAGAAGTTGTAAAAAAACCTTGCGCATCTCAAATTACTATAAGCAGAGCACAGTTTTTAAATACTTTCTCTTCCAGTAAGACATTTTAAATAACACTCAAGAACAATGACAGTACATACAAAATATGCTTCATTTTTCTTATTCAATTATTTGCTGGTATGGAAATACTATGCAACTCCTTGTCAATTCACTCACTTAGTGCAAACTACCTTATCTTTTATAATTTCAGGAATTTAGGCTGAAAGACTGCATTAAGCTGTTCTTAGAAGAATTTGTAGTCATAGCTGCTCTATTCTGAAACCAGCACAGCCTGATCAACAGAGTAGGTATTTAAGGCACTAGATTTCAGCTTAAGAAATAAATTCCCTATTTTCAAATACATGCATTGAAAGAACTTTTCACTGTGGTATTTGGGGGATCGAAATGTCAGTAGCCCATTAAAGCAATGGTTTTGTGAATGTGTATTTGGAAAATTACAGGAGACGCCACTAATAGTTAAAATTATTACGTATTTTATTATTTTATTTTCAATTCTAAACAGGCTCATGATAATCAAACCTGAGTGGAAACAGCTTTCAGGCACTGACCTTGTGATGCTGGTTGGAAAATCGTCTTAATCAAAAAAACATCATGGAATTTTATGACATACTGTTTAAGTGACCAACGGGAGCCCAAGAATCAAAAATTACTATTTTTTTCTAAATTAGTAAGAGTGCAGCAGTCCTGCATATGAAATGAAAACTCACATTCCTCACTTTACCAGCCTTCCGAGTTGACTTAGTTTTGTGTGGTCCGTATCACACAAACTAATTTTTTGTCTTATTCTCCTACACAGATTTTCTTTTTCTTGTGACCACAGCATTTCCCCAGGGACTTCACACCAAAATTGTTTACCTTTAAATACATTAGCTTAATGCATGTAATATTCACAAAAAACAGTTTTCATGTACATATTTAATGCATGTATTCTCCTCCAAAATGACACAATATATCTTTGACGAGTTCAACGCATCCTTCTTGATATTCCACCATCCTGTTGGCGAACTGTCTTTTAGTGAAGGAAAAGAAAACCAAAGAAATGAGGAAAGCTGCTCTACACTGGTTTAAAAAAAATAAATCAGGTACCTGTGGATTTCTCTTCTGGGTTTGTATTTCATTTAAAACGTTTTAAATAACACTTAAAGTTATAAAATATTGGACTTTACATTAAAGAATGTAACCACTAGTGCCAGCGTAAAATTTGTAACTTCAGTCTTTCGCAGAAGATCACTGAGCTGTGAGGTTGCTGTTCACAAGTTGTGCTAAAGTTCATCGTGCTTAAGACCTGTAACCAAAGGGGAAGAGAAAATTATAAAAACCGGCTACATGAAAGGCTTAATGACTACTTCTGTGGAATGCAGAGAAAGCCCTTTAACTTTCTGTTTACTTCTATTCAATCAGTTCAGCAACACAAACTTCATTTTTGGAGTCTAAACAAAGTGGACCATTAGCTTTTGCAAAGAATAAAAACTACTACGAATTCTTGTTAATGAACAGTTAATTTGTTCCTCAACTCAAGACTTTTAAATAGTTACCTGCTAAGTTTCTCCTTCAACCTTGAGAGCTGAGATCACCTGTTTTTGTTTCACATTACTCCGAGAAGTCAAGTCTTAATGCAAGTTCTAGAAGAGTGGTTTTCTTTTCTCATGCTATTTAACTAACTCAGTTTAAAACAATTTTAGATAAATCAAAATACATTTGTAAACTAAGACACCATTTAGTCTGGTGTGAAAAGGTCCCGTGTAGATAAGCATAGTGAGTGATGTGGAGACAAATTACGAGAGACTTGGTTACCTGCTGCTTATTAGACATTAGCTTTAAATTCTCTAAGTGAGGTCTAAGCTAATGTGCTTCATTTAATATTTGTTGCTCAAACAATGTGGAGCAGTTGGTTGTGTATGTGGTCCAAGAAGGACATGACTAAATTTTCTCTTAGATTCCAGCATGAAACAAAAGATTTTATCCTCTTGCCCAATGTAAAGAAGCATCAGGCAACTCTCAGAACCTGCACAATTTCTCTAAGAGCAGTGAAATCTACACAAATTGTGCCTACTGATCCCAACCTTAATTTCAAATATATTAATTTTTTTTAAAGCCTACAGATCAATATGCATGTGGATTACCTTTTTGAAAGAACGATGTTAGATTTTTCTTCTCTTTTTCAATTTGCTGTATTAACGTTCTTATCTCAGAGTCATAGTCAACCCATTCGGGAACTATCCGGGCAGCAGCCTTTAGTTTTGGCTCTTTGGTTTGTGGATTGTTGCACTGAAAGTTTAAAACATGCTTGATGTAAAAAAACCACACGTGAAAATAACTCTGTCAGCATTTACAACTGTGTTGAAGGACAGCATGTAAGCTCAGTTACCTTGATATTAACCAAAAAACCCAAGCAGAATAACCTGTAAATAAATTCTGTTTAAATAACTCAAAACCTTTCATTGTGAACATTTTTATTTGTCCGTGTGCTCCCAACTACATCGACAGCAGACAGAGGTAGCGCAAGACTACCGAGATTTAGACAAAGTTACATGGGGAGACACAAGGTATACAGTAGCGTATTGAAATTGAACCCGATATGTTTGGTTTTCGAATTTATGATGTTTCCTCTAGTACTGTCTAGGACATTTACGATTACTTCCATAAAATAAGTGAAAATCATAATAAAAAGTAATACATGATAATGGGGAATGAAAGAAGGTCTAGTAACTTAATTTCAGCCTTTCTTGAATAGATAGTGTTGGGTTGTTCAAAAATGAGAACGGGGGAAAAAAAATGGGACGGGGGTGATAACGACAGAGAAGAACAACTCTGTTTCAGTTCCTCAAGAAAGACAATTTCTTCTTTCTAAATATGGATAGACTCCTCTTCATGAGCTCCCGTTTAGAGTGGAGAAACGGGCAGAGAAAACCATGATAATAATATTAAGTCCTCTGCACTGCAGGTTCAGGAGCAACCTCCTTTGTCAGGAGCGCACGTACTCAGATAGTTAAGAATGCTTCATGGGGGCTCCACTAACCTGGCTGAGTACGAGAAAAAAAAGATACGGAATATGCGCGGGCAGGTATGAAAAGCCCCAATCCTGTTCTGTCACAGGGAGCAACACTTAGTTTTCAGGTACAGTTTTCAGCTTTAATGTAAACAGATTTGGTTCAAAGCAAGCGGGAGAGGTCTCGGAGGAAAGGAGAGAAGTTGCTGCGTTGTGGGGAAGGGAAGATGTTTCCCGGCGCCTTCCAGCGAAGCCGCCTCATGGCATCACATCTGCGTCTCTCAAAAGCCCCAGAAATCAAGGCAAGGTTTTTCATCTCTAGAGCGAACTTAACTCGAAGGCAACTCACCAGGTCTATGGTTTTTGCCTTTTTCTTGGATTCGTCATCACACCAGGTTTCACACCAAAGCCATTCCTGAGGGAGAGACTTAATAGCTACCTGATGAATCATGTTGTTGGGAAGATCCTGCACAAATTTCGTAAAAACATAAATCAGCCTTGAATTCAATGTAACCAGTTATCAGGCAACTACTGAAAAGCAGAATGTCTTAGCCTATTACCAGTTTTGAAACTTCTTCTCGTGGTTTCTTCTAAGCGCTCACCTGGCTCTTTTTCAAGTCGATAAAAAACTGATGCCTGCTCACTTCGACGGCCAATTCCACCTCTCATTTCTCAAGTGTTTTTTTTTCTCTTGTACTTAGGTCTTTCCTGCCTTAGCTTCACGTAAGCAACACTACTGTCTGATACTTATGGTTCACATACTGCATGTCACACTATATACTACTGAGCAGAATTAGGCTGTATGAAATTATTAAAGCATAACTTGACCAGCTTTCCTCAAACTTGAAAAAAAAAGATGCTCAAAGGCATAAAATCCAGGATCATGCCATTACTCTAAATTTAGCTTTCTTCTAGGCAAATGGATTCCAGAAACGTGAGTGTGAAAAGGAAAAGCTATTTTGGCATCTTCCTTACTTCACTAATTTCTTTTTTTAACCTATATTATACAGCCAAGTACTGTCATCATGCAGACTCTGAACCAGCATCTTGCTGAATGTAGGCAACAGCATTTACAAGTGTATAAATGAGGAAAACCTCCGGCTGGCTGTAGTTAAAAATAACAGATGTCATTGGTACATCCATTCGTAAGCTGCTTTGCATGTGCAACCCCTACATAATATTTAAAAATAAGTATCAGTACTCAAATAAGTATTAGTAAATCTTATTTTGTCAATTTGCATTGCTAAACGTGACAGAATAAAAGAGCAGATATACTTGCATTATAAAACGCATTTAACTGAAATATAGACATTAGTACACGAAAATTACATCAAATATAATTATCCTGGGATTCAAGACACTTAAATAGCAAATGTTTTCTTTTTTGAAAAACTGCAGCTCCATGAATTTTAGGAAGAATTTCCATTTATTCAGAAATAAATGGTTTATCACTATCTCAATTCCAAGAGAAAAGCAATCATTTTCCTGCTGTGCCTCTCTGACTTTCTAAACGAAATCACAATTGCTGAGCTGCTACAGTAACTTTCAAAGTTGTGAATTTACAAATTGTTATATGGAGTAGAAAGCAGAAAGACAGCTGCAAGTTCCAGGATTTAAAGTAAAGAGCAGCAAATTTTTTTATTTTTTTTTAAATCTGAACAAGAAGTTGCTTATCCTTTCAGAAGAACGTGATCTGTCCTCAAAACAGCAAAATACATCTAGAACACCAGAGGAAATATTAATGAGTCAGAAAAATACAAGACCAAGGGTAAGACCAGATTGGTTTTACTGTCGGTGCCAAAATTCTTGTTCGTCCAACATATGTGAACGGCTGAAATAGAAGTCTTCTAGACTTTCACACACAACATTTAAAACTTATTTTCACATTTAGTCACATAACCGACATTACTGTGAAGGAGACTCCTCTACAGCAGCATCTTCAGTAGAAAATAAAACCTAAATTTAAAAATATAAAAAAATTTCCTCTCAATAAAAGTTTCTACTCTTACATTCCTTTCTGCCGATTTTTATTTTTTAAGTAAAGAAAAAGATGGTTATTTAACTACTTTTTAATGAATCACTATTAGTATAGATACTTGTCAAGTATTTGTTTTGTTGTCTATATTGCTCTATATTGTTGTCTATGCTGCTCTTCGAAAAGAAGAATTAAATATGCTGTATCGGAAGTATGTTTTTTTATTGTGTGTAATTTGTCTCCCTAGGAGTTCTTTACTTACTATCCCTGGCATTTAGAAGTACCTTTTTTCCACTCTATCTACCCCTATTTTGTGATTTCTATTAGCATGACCTTAACTACCACCCATGGGGGCAGCAGTGTTGGCAGATTAGCAAAGAGCTGAGATTGCTTCTTCTTTGAGAAGGGCAGTGAGCACTCCAGTCATGTATTTGAAATAAAAAAAAAAAAAAATCTATTATAATGCATCCCTCTCAGTAGATAAAAGCTCTCCAGAATTGTAAAATACGTTGCGCTATGGTTTGTATTTTTAGGAATGATGCTGTATCTGCTCTAAGTAGCAGCAATGAAGACGGAGCGATTCCTCTCAGTACAGTCAGCAAGCAGGCTGCTCTGAAAATACTACTTTGAAATATTTCCTTTTCCAAAGTAATTCCAATTCCATTCTGCCAAGATTTAGCTACTTAATGTCTGCTCTCAGCGCTGGTGTGCCAAGGGAACGGTAGCAGAGACTTAAGTGGCTTTTGATTTGATCCAACAGATTTCTAAGAGGTATGTGCTATGAACTATCAATGCTGTTATTGAAAATATAAGAATCTCCAAACTTCAAGATGCACGTTATTCAAATTTTGAGAACATCAGAAAAAACTAATGACTATTTCTGTGAAGCAGCATTATGGTGGAAGCTCTGTAACCACCTTCTGAACCTTTAAGGTCTTTCTGAAAGATGCCTCGTACATACGGGAAAGACTGGTTGGAAAATACAGCTAAGCACATCGGGGCTCTCTAGGTGTGCAACACGGGGCTGAAATTAATTCTGTTGTCCATAAAATGGACTACTGCTATTATATCAGCCTTTTGCTCTTAACAGTCATAGCTTAAGGCTGCTCCAACTCCTTGTGCCCAGCCCAGTTGGCATTGGTAGCGTGGCTGTATTTCCACTTTTCTTTGTTCAGTATTGTAAGAAATGTTAATTTCAATTTTTTTTATTTTCTTTCTGGAAAAAATGCAACTGGTAGTAATGTACTTAGGAAGGAGAGAGAGATAGAAACTCGCTTGCAGAGTAAAGGGGTGAAATGCAGGCATCAAGAGATGTGGGCTTTGCTACTCTAGGATCCCTTTACTACTTACAGGCAGGTAACAAACCTTTTGCGCTTTTGTAATTCTACACAGAAAATTACACAAGCAGGGAACACCTCACTTATGAAGAAGTTCTTCCCCATGAGGGTGGTGAGACACTGGCACAGGTTGCCCAGAGAGGTGGTGGAAGCCCCATCCCTGGAAGTTTTTAAGGCCAGGCTGGATGGGGCTCTGAGCAGCCTGATCTAGTGGGAGATGTCCCTGCCCGTGGCAGGGGGGTTGGAACTAGACGATCTTTAAGGTCCCTTCCAACCCTGACAATTCTATGATTCTATGATAAGCACTTCTGAAATTCACCCAAAGAGAGATATGAACAAAATTATTATTTACTTGGGTGGAAACTGGGTGAGCTGTATTACTCATCGTCTGCTGAGTGAAAGAGCCTCTACTACAGAAGAAAAAATAAATTTGAGTGCGTTCTGTATACCTGGGATCTACTTACTTGCTTGTAATTCATATCCCTACTCAGCCCACGTAGCTATAAAATTGGAAGAGTTAAAGAAATGAAGACTACAATCACCCCAGGGTGACCATGTACATCAACCACTAGAGCAGTTAGCTTACAGAAAATAAATTAACCTAAATAGAAAAAAATTAAGAAAGAGGAAAAAGAGCTCACTAAACAAGGAAAAAATTACCATTATCAGAATATAAGAATGTCATTAGAAAAGCACAAATAAATGTACACAGAACATCTACAAAGCAAGGACAGCAGTGCAATACATTTGTCCTCTATGCTGGATTTTTCCTCTTTTTAAATGATAGGTAATTATTTACACTATTAATTATTTGTTTCTCTGAACTGTGCTCATATGCATACCTGAAAATTTGCTGAAACATCAGTAAAGGGCAAATAGTTTCCAAACTACATAACGTATATAGAGAGGTACAAAATAATTCTGTGTATATTAAGGAGGATAGAGAAAACAAACTGAATTGTTTAAACCCATATATACCTGATCTAGATTTGACAGACTATTTGGATCTTGACTAAGGGCCTGGTACTGGCCCCGAAGTCGATCTCCTGCTGCGATCTTTCTGAACTTCTTCAGATCCACAACATATAAGGCACTACAAAGGTAAGGGGAAAAAAAAAGAATTAAGATTTGCACAGTTTCACTTTCCTTTTTGTAACTGTAAGAACAAGTAACAAAACCCAAAAAACTGTTCCTGTATTAAAGGAATATTTACTTGAGTAGCTAAAGCTGCAATAAAAACCAAGTGAAATCAATGTTATCAAAATGCATCCCTCAGTCATATCTTACTGAAAATGACTACAGGGCAACTGAATGTGAAGGCCTCAGTGATAAATACCAGGGCCCAAATTTTAATCAAATTCACAAACGCCAGGAAATCCTACCTAATATGGTATTTCCTTTTCCCAAGATGGGATGCCCAGTATCCCGATTTCCAGAACCGGTACCCATCCATTTCTCTCCGGCTGTCACAGAACGGCGTGTATCCGTAGGGAGCTCCATTGAGATCTAGGTCTCTGAGTTCTTTTAGGTCACTTCTCACAATCTAAATAAAAATGTATTTGTTTTTATAATTTAATATTGTTTTTAAGATGTGCAATATAAAGGCAGTTATTGCAGCAACCTTCCCAAAGTTTAGTTTTAATTTAAAGAAAAAAACAAAACAAAACCGAGGAGACACTACAATAGTGGAGTACAGCTGAAGGATTCCACTGGAATTACATTTGCTAAATTATTGTTCAAGGAAAAAAACAGGTGTTTATTCTGTGGCCATCTGTGGAACACATTTAGTAAGGAAATTAAATAAAGCAAGCAAAGTGATTTTAATTTATAAACCAGTGTTTCCAATTTCCAAATATTAAACTCCTTCATGCAGGAATATAACTTTCAAAATCTACTGAGCATCTTCCTTCCAAAAAAATCCTTCCTATTTGTTACATTAACTTAAGCACTACACAATTAATGTATCATTTGAGAATCTTTGTATCTAGCAGTGAAGTACTTCTAAAAATCTGTTATAAGGACATTTTACAAATATCCTTTATTTACTGATCAATCATTCTTCCATCAAACCCTCCTAATTAATTTATCAGCGGTAAAAAAGTTTTAGCTGTTTTGGAGTACAGAGAAATCTTTTGAGCTGTTAGGACAGACAACCAGTGCTACTACTGTGTCGAGATGGAATTGCAGAGAGCTGTGGTCTGCCCAGCTACAGCTAAATGTGGTTTATTCTCAAGCCTCAGAAAAAGACCAAAATACATAATGTTTGCTCTGAGGTTTGTAATATTCACACCATAGACTCTTCAGTGTCTCGTCCGTTTGACGAGGTTACCTTTCAGTATATTATACAATATTAATTTCCAAGTGGGAGACTGCAAACAAATTGAAGAACTAAAGGGGCAGGATTTATCTTCATCACCTCGCACCCCTTCCACGGCGAGGGGAGAAGGTCTCCGCACTCAGCCGAGAGACTGAATCATTCGAACGAGCCTTGGGTGAAACGCACCTTTGGAGCTCCCACACCTCTCCAGGTGCCCTCCGCGGGCATCAGAGGCAATTTAAGGCAACTCAGGGTGTGATGAGATTCCTCATTTCTACGTGAGGAAAGACAAGTGCAATTATTTCATTTTGTGGTCTGCAACGCTGCTGGCTCTGCTTGTACAGCTGCAATATTCTTCTGAGACCAACATTCGGATAAAACGGCCAAAGGGAATGCAATTGGATCAGTTTAAGGTCAAGTCATTTCCTCCTATGTTTATCCAATATGAATTTTCCTTACCTGGTCCGCATCAACAAATATTATTTTATCCACAGCCAAAGGGAAAAGAACATCCAAAAAAAGAATTTTGTAGCCCCAGATAATTCTTTGTTTTTCTGTCTGTTGATGAAGCCACCGGGGCCACTTATACTGTACTAACTCGTACTTGAAACCGTACTTTTGAGCCATGTGGGGAATAACATCCTAGAAGAAGAACCAAAAAACTTTTAGTCACACATGTGACACGCAAGGACTCAGAAGGAAAAAGAAGGAATGCTGACACATGGTTGCAGCTGTGTTGGCCCTACTGACTACATAAAATAATATTTTTAAATGTTTCTTTAGTTCTAGCAGTACCCCCAGCCACGTAAATATAAAAAACATTATTTTCAAGCTCCTAGAGACTACTGGAAAGGAATTAATTATTATTATAATATATAACTGGGCTTTGGGTTCTTTGGATTCTAGAAAAGAACCCCACAAATGAGACTTCAAAACTAGTGGTATTTAATGCATTCAGAGATCATCTCCAACCGGAAAAAATTAATTTAAATTATGTAATTACTCAATTGTAAGCTTTTTTTAAAAAAAAAACTACCCAAAATTTTAAGGAAAAAAATAATAAAAGGAACATGTTTCTCCTACCTTAAATGTTGGGGAGAGATAGTTTTTCAGAAACCAAAATTTAACTGGTGTTTTTGTATGACGTAGGACAGAAAGCATCATAATTCTGTGGAAATATAAGTCTATAATAAACAAACAAATACACACTGGTCATTAAATTTCAACTGCACCTAAAAGGTGTTACAACTTTCTAATTTTAATTTTCTTTAACCTGGTTTAAGCAGAAATTTCTGTCCATTTCTAGTTAAAAGCTTTAAAGAGCACGTATTAATTCCCTCTCAAAGCATTCTTGATTTGATCCAGATTGGCTAAGCAATACTGGAAGAATATCAAAAGCGGATCTGTTAACAAGTTTTATTTGAAGAGAGGTGTCTGACAAAATGAGAATTACAACTGATAATATAATTATATTAATAAGTATAGTGAATTGGTTACTGAGCTAATTTATTAAACTCAATATATTTCTAAAATAGGTTTCTGAAATTAAAAATAACAGAAAAGAGAAAGCATAGTTCAAGTTAAGATCCTCTTCAGGAAACCCTTATTATCTGTAAAAATCACTACATTGGTTTCAAATTTTTTTTCCCCACTATTGTGGTGGTTTTTGGGTGTAACCAGAGAGATAAGCAATGCCTTACAACCTTATAAGATGTAAAGTCTACCTTAAAAAATTAAGAAATAATAAACTTCAAATAAGGTAAAGAAGCATGTAGAATATCTTTAAATTATTTCTTCTCCTTTAAAATAAATGTCTTTCTCTTCATGAAGGTGGTTGTGGGTTGAAGGAAAGACATGCAGACGTACCAACTGTGTCAAGACTACCAAGAACTAAATACATACAAATCACTACTTTCCAAACAAATATGCATGAAAGAATTGTGAAATTCCACTTTATTATAGAAAAATGGCTTAATCTGACACCTGTAGACAACTGCTCAAAGACATCACAAAACTAAGAGAGATGGTTGCAGACATATTAGGCAATACTGTAAGAATTCCTTCAAAGCAATCATTGCCCAGTGAGTGAACACTGAGGCCATATGTGCATGTCACAGTATCCATAGTTTTGACTAAACATAAACAGATACAACTCTAATGAAGTTACTGCTGTTATGTCTTTATAAAAGGAGACTGAACTTCAGCCCTTTTTGTTCACACTTCGCATGTGCACTCATGAAAGCCATGGAGAACTTCGAAGAATAATAGCAGTTTTGAACACCTATACGTTGAATCACTGTTCTTAAACAAAGATGAACTTGATTCTCACTGAAGACAACTCTTCTGTATTTTGACAATTTATTCTTTACACACTGTCAAAAAAGGTCAGTTTCTTTAAGCTGTTTGCTTTTAGGATGAACCTTTACAGTACTCCTACGAAATTCTTGTTTCCTTTTTACCTTTTCTTACCTTAAAAAACGTTCATATAAATGGCCTGAAGCAACTGAAAATATGTTAAGAATATCACTTCTCTCTTCCTTCTCTTCTGCTGGAATTTCTTCTGAAAATCTAAGACGAAAAACTCTAGAGTTATGGTATAAAGTATACATTCAGCAGAAAGAAAACACTACCATCTTACCATTAAGCTCAAAAAGAATCATAACTAGAAAATATCTACCTACACTATCATACAATATCCTACAATATCATCCTACACTAACTGAACACACTTAGATTCTACTCCCACTGCACACACCCATGACAACAAACTTTTCTGGGAGCAACACTTTGTACAGAGTCACTCTGGACAAATGGTGGCAGATCTGCTGTCTCAGATATTTTCAGTCAAACAGAAGCCAAGTTTGGCAAGAACTCCACGTTTTATCAAAGAAAAAAAAATCAGAAATACCCACAGCCAGAATATCTTGAAAGCGGGTTATTTTTAAAATCAGCAACAGTTATTTTTCAGTCTTCATCCACATGCATTCTTCATCAGAATCACCAATGAACATTCTTGAGGTGAGGGAAGCCTGCATAACCCCATAGTCAGTTAAGCTGAACATATAGTCTAAAATACAGACTGGACTTAATATAAAGATGGCCACACTGGGTCAAACCACATATTTAGTCCAGCACCCTACCAAAAGCAAATAACAAGGCTGAGGAATAGCAGCTTTCCCAGAATACTCTCATAACAGTCCGTGGTCTGTGGTGATGTGATATCTCAAATGTTTTTCATAATAGTTGCTGAATTCTTCCTTAAATTCATCCAATTACTCTCCCTAGAAGCTACCCTACATCTCTGATGTATGTTGTTTTCTGCTTCTGCTGCATAGAATTCTTTGCTTGCTTTGAATGCCAGTGTACCAGTTTTTTAATGAGGTAGAGTGAGTTCCAGCACACACAGGCAGGGGGTGGTGGCCTCCGTCTCCCTCAGAACGCTGCTTCACACATCTTAGAACCGCAAAGGTTGCTTTAGCCCGACTGGTTACACTAAGGCTTGATACTGTTAGAAATTCACCTCAACAGGCTTTTTCTTTTGAGATTAGTCATGCCTCACACATTTAGATTGTGTGAGTCACCCCTATTAATTTTTCTTCTGGTTTGATCCCTTATAAAAATACACTTTAAAAAGTATAAAAATAAGTATCCTTCATAATTTTTAAGAACAGATGAGACAAGCTTCAGATCTCCAACCCATTTAAAAGAATTCGCATCACTCCACTAATACAAAGCAGAAATCTCAGAAGGCTGAAATGTGTGTAAGTGGTTTGAATAATCTTTGGAGAAACCCACGTTCTTTTTACTCAGCAATGGTAGGAGGAGACAGCACAGTCATTCCTGATCAGGACTACAGCTAACTCAGAAGAAAGAGACACTCATGGAGTGGCACTGACGCTAACTCTGAAGAGGACAACCCCTCAACTGGCACTGAGTTCTCACAGGCTAAACAGACCGCACTTCACAGTCTGTGTGACTTTCTATCCCATTTCTTATATATAGTGACAGCAGGACTTAAAGAATGTCAAGCTTTCTATAGCGCAACTGTTACCACACATGACTACAAAGACAGATGTGAAAAAAAGAAAATCAGGTTCTGATGCAAGGAACTTGAAAAGACTGATTATGCAAAGCTTTACAGAAGCCAGAAGAGATCTTTCAGTTGGAACGAGCTGCTCTAAGGATGACTGGGTTCACCCGCAAGGTCACACGGGAGAAGCAGTCAAGTGGAGAAAGGACTTGGTGATGTGGTGTGCACGCATGGCCCATGTCAGAGCACACCTGGATTCCTGTAATGAACAGCATCCTGCCAGGATAGATTTTTCCTTCTAGAATATCAAAGAGGAAGGCTCTTTCTTAAGTTCGTAGAGAGCAGGAAGCTGACAGACAAACGGCAGGCCTCAAATCATGCTCCTGAGCCACAACCTTGAATCAACGGGAAGAGCAAACAGACTTTATTGGGTGAAAGGCTTCAACAGCCCAGGCAAACTCTGCACTTGATACGTGTTGATGAACCAACCCACCGTGAAAAAAGACTAGACCCAGGAGATCATGAGATCTCTGGCCTTGTAATCTTAAGAGTGAGCGAGGATTTTGACCACTGTGCATACATCCTTTCATGCAGCTAGTTAGAAGTGGGAACTTTGATGATGATGGAAAGGTCCTTCAGCAAACATTATTCTGTGAAAGAGGCCACCTTTGTGCAGAAATGTGGGTCCTGTGGCTTCAGGACAAAAATCCTGAGTTGCAGTATACTAGTCTGGAAGGCTGTCTGAACCTAGTCAACATCGTTAACAGTGAAATCATCTGGGGATAAACGGTGACAGACAGAAAATTAGCAGCAGAGACTCAGTAAAATAACCATGTGCTTGAGATACAAGAAGCCTTGTCAGGAGAAATGATAAAGCTGAAGCAGAAGCCAAGTCCTGGAGAACTGCTATGACTTCTCTTTGTCTTTTTTAACAGTCTTTGTGACAGACAACCATTGCCAAGGCTACTGAAAATGGAAGAAAACCTTTTTTTGAGTGTCACAGCAGTTGTTTGGGATCAGAAAGTCCTTAGGGTATGGAGAAAATAGTGATGAAAAAGCTACTCTACTTAAATCCCTCATACTGACATCATCCATTTCTTACTCACCAAATTACAGTCCAGAAATGTTTTCCTGAACAATGGGGGAACAAGACTTCACCTCGACTGGTAAATCTTGAATGCTTAAAGGTATTTACAGACAAAACTAGTACAATGTCTTTTTTCTTTCAGGGCAAACAGATCTACGATTACTTGGATTAAGTTGTTTACACAGTTAAGTCATTAGCCCTGAATTGGTTATTTCAGAAGGCATTACCTTCAGGTATTTGCCTTTGCAATCATACAGCCATGACAGCTTAGCGCTCGGCAACATAGTGCAGAAACAATCTGTGCTGGAAATCAAACTTTCTGAGAGCAAACGTGAGTGTTTCCTACAAAGTGGATGGAGTCCATCCAGCATAGAAACAGTTCCCCCCAAACAGCCTTGAAGACCCAGAAGGGCAATTACCATTGACTTGAAAGAGCGGATGAATTTATTGTGTTACCAGCATTCCAGATTAAAGACCCAAGCTCATTTAACTTCAACATTAAGAAATCAGATCACTGGGTATTCAGTAAGTACTTCTGCCAGCAAGCCAAGTTCCACACTGGAGTACATTATCTTTTTGAGATGTTTCTTGTGAAAAAGGTGTCTGAAGTGTTACAAGGAAAGAATCCTCAGAGAGCATCCAGGGCACAGTTTCTAAAATGGGTTGGTCAAAGGTCATCTGATTGAAATGCTCTCGAAAGAAAATTAACATGTCTTGGAAACTGATACAACATCCCCTGGTCTGATCCACAGCACAGATATACTAGTCTATTAAAATAAACTCTAAATTTTTTCTAAGCAAAGATGAAACATCCTTTTTTGCCCTTATGCTCAAAAATGATATTATGATTTCATAGGAATTTGTATCTTACTAGTAAAAACTATATTCAATTTTTGAAAGAATCAGCCTGAACCACACACCACACAGATAACAATTATAAACAACTGAAAACAAAACCTGACAGTGGGATACAGCAAATTAGAAATACCAGAATGTTATTAGCCCCAAAATGTAAAGCTTGAGATATTTATTACAACTATTTATAGAACTCAAACTTTAAAGGTATTTTATTCACAAATGCAAAAACACTTCTTGGGCTTTCATAAATTATGGCTAGCAGCAGACAAGCAGCATCATAGTCTGCTTTTTGACATTCACTTGGGTACATCTGAGTATCACATTACTGCCACAACAAAACAAAAATAAAGCCAATGGAGAAAATGGAACTGGAACTAGGAATGCAAAGGTGGGATTTAAAAGGAAAAAACTAATGAGATGTATAAGACACTATATCTTATTTTTTCCCCTCTTTTATTTACAAATCCCTTGGGGAGTCTCTTTACATATTTGTGTCAGTATCAAGTAAGAAACATTTACTTTCTGTGAGCAATATGAAACATGTCCTGGCACGGTTAAAGTAAATACAAATTACATATTACCTTGTAATTGGTCCCTGATTTCCTTTTTTTCCTGTTTTTCCATCAGCAAGGAGATCTTCATTCATTTTATCAGGCTTTTTCTGTACCTAGTCATTACAACAAATGCATATGTACAATCTGGGAAGTCAGTTGGTAACAGTTACTACTTCAGTTGTGATATCTACCTATGGTGTACTTACTGGCTAGAGCTGGACCAACATCTTACCAATTTCTATTTCAGTAAAATACTTACTGAACTGCACTAAATTGAACAGTAAAAACATAATTTTATATTTTTAACCTACGTACAAAACTTACTGCAATAAGTAATCAATTGTGAAAAATTAAACGGTGATTAATAAATCAAACAGCATGTTCTAGCATTCAATAGTTACCCAGGAACTAAAAGCGTGAGGAACTGTATCTCATTTTCTTTCCTCATGAGTTTGCGATCCAGCCATTAGCTGGCAGAAGAAAGGTGGCTGGGTGTCACACCATGCATGGAACTCACCTGAAGGGAAACTGCTGTTCTCATAAGCCCTTCACAAGGAGAAAGCAACAAATTTGTTGCTGAAGCATAAGCTTTCCCATCCACACTAAACAATTTATGCTGTCTTACCCAGATGCTTAATAATGTTTCCAAACTAATTTTGTTTGCTGATCTTAATTTCCTTGACTAAAAGAAACCTAACTGTTTTTGAAAACCAAATAGCTTCTAAACCACTAAATGTTTGAATATATTAAATTCTAACTACATTAATGTCTTCACATGTTTTTAGAATTATAGAATCATAGAATCATTATGGTCAGAAAAGACCTTCAGGATCATCAAGTTCAAATGTTACTTAACTCTACCAGGCCCACTTCTAAATCATGTCTCTGAGCACCCTATCTAGATGGCTTTTAAACCCATCCACAGACTGTGATTCAACCACTTCCCTGGGCAGCCTGCTCCAATCTCTGATAACCCTTTCAGTGTAGAAGTTTTTCCTAATGTCTAATCTAAACCTCCCCTGCTGGAACTTGAGGCCATTTCCTCTTGTCCTATCAGTTGTAACTTGAGAGAACAGACCGACCTCACCTCTCTACCACCCCCTTTCAGTAGTTGCAGAGATCGACAAGGTCTCCCCTCAGCCTCCTTTTCTCCAGGCTAAACAACCCCGGTTCCCGCAGCCGAGTGATAACTTATTCTAGTTAAAAGCTTAATACATACCACCTTTAACATAGACTAATTTTCCTATTTTGACTCACAGGGCACCCTTCTACCCTTTCTCTGTGGCTTAAAGGCAGGCTTATCATGTTCCAGAGAGTTACACACTCTCTCCACGTTCTGGAAACTTTCATTTACAGAACTGGGAAACAGACGTATATGTGTCATTTCAAAAATTCTTTTTGTCCTATGTTTATGTCATTCTCTCCCTTCTCAATGTCTAAAATTAGGATAGAATTACCAACCACATCTACACAAAATGCTGTTTACAAAAGAGTGGAAAGCTTACACTACTATGAGGTTCTTTCTCAGTATAACTTGTGTTTCATTATCTCCTTTTGATAAACCTTTAAGAATGAAAGTAGTGTGATTTCATTTGCACCAATTTGTAGGTTAGAGTAGAATTCAATACCAAATTTTAACTTTGACTCTGGTACCTGGACCCCATGTCAAACTCCTCCCCAGTCACAGGAAAGAACTGAAGGTCTCAAGAGGTTGTCACCCCCTTCATTTACATACATGCATGGGCTGGGAGGAGCACTCCTTTGGACTCCTTCTCATTCTACTAAACGGAGCGGGAGTTTAGAGCACCTAGGGAGTGCACTCTTGGACACCTTAAGCTAGCCAAGATAAATCCTATCTATGTTTAACTCCTATTCAGCAATCTCCCATGCAATTAGTATAACTTGATTGGATCAAATTACCTCCATTAAGTTGCACACTTTTCTCTACTTAATAGTACGAAATCTAAATTATATATTTCAGTATACATCCTCCAATTAAAAATAGCCTAAGACACATCAGCATTAGTCATATTTCAAATAAGTATATAGCGCAGACAAAAAAGGTATCTCTTTACATACTTGGACTTTGATAATTTTGCTTCTGAAGTTGTTTAATACCACGATAACATCTGTCAGGTCAGCTACAGAATCTGTTCCTTCATGGCTGTCAGGAGAAAAAAAACAACCAACAATGCAAATGTACTGGCTCATTAAAACATGCATTATTACTTGTCTTTAGAGGATAAGGTTTAGGATTGCTGATATTTATAGAAACAAAATTTCAGCACTTGCACCTAGTTTTATCTTAACTTCAGAAACTGTGAGTTTGACTCATCATTAGACACTGTCCACAGTGGTAGCCCTTGATTTTTATTTTGGGAAATTTTATCAGCCACTGAAAAAACGCAGCATCTTAGAGCAGGGGTATCTTACATTATCTTACATATTTTTCAAATATGGAAAGCAGCTCAGAAATTGCTGTATGAAGGCATTAACTGTATTTTTACAACAAACAAATCTGCTTTAAAAAGTTTAGGAAAAGCTTCATCACGGTGCTCCAACAGTTCCAACTGGCTTCCAGCTGGTTGGCTTTGGTGACCGTACCCCTAAAGACTTGGCACCATGTGAACATTTGCCCAAGTGACCACTGAGGCATCTCAAGACTGTACTGCAGTCCAGTGAGCAACAAGTACAAAACCCACTGCTGTTACTGTGATACAGTGTAATAATAGAATTCTCAAATTTTATAGCTTTTATACCACAGCAGCCCATGTATTTTTCCTTTAATCCTTTCTGTCTTTTTACAGCGTTATGTAGTTCCCTTTCCTCTTGCTAAGACTTATGCATGCAAAACATTGATTTAAGAAAGTAATCTGCTACCTCTTAGGCTTGATGGGTTTTTTTTGCCTAGAAAATGAAATATTTAAATCTTATTTCAATCTCTTTCATACTACTTATCTAAAAATGACAGCATTTTATAGAGATATCTCATTTTCTATTTAATACGTTTTCGTAAAAAGTGCCTATGATTAGTAAGTTTCATAGACATGACTGATTCTTGCAAAAAACAATAATCTGGATTATCTTGACTTTTCCACTCTCTGCTTTAGTTTTACTTTTGCGCTTTTAAAATACTGCTTTTGAAGTACTGCCAAGTACTTGGTCTTTTTATCACAGCGAGATGTGTACAACTCAACATAGAAGGCCACAGTTCTCCATTTTAAATAACGTGTGTCATAAAACATCCTAAAATAATAAAACTAGACCCAAACACAAACTGCTGACAGCAGAAACGGCAGCAGCTGGCACAGTGTTGCCGCTTCTTCTCCCAGTTTTTACACAGTTAAAATTTTCTCTATTATTTACTCAGTTACCTTGAAATCTCTGTGTTATGAATTCTGTAGCTAGCTCTGCAGCTCTGCTACTCAAGACGATTTTCCAAAGTCCTTGCAATATTCCCCAAATCTTTTGTTTGGCTGTAAATTAATAATATCGCTTTGTCTCCCTAAATCTCTTTCACGGTTGCCTCACTCTCAGCTCCAACTTTACAGAGCACCAAATGTTTTACTCTGCACAGCTCTCACTGGGATGAGTTTCTGCTCCAGCATGAACAACGTACTGAAAACAGTGATGGTCACCATTACGGACCCTGGACACTTAATGTTGGTCTCAAGATCCAATTTATCTGTTTCGCTGTTCACATCTTTGTGTACTTCCTACTATTACACTGCAGTAACTTCTTTTCCTGACAGAGGACTTAATTTCAGTTTGGAAGAACTGGGATCATGATTTTCAAACTCCCTTAACAAAACCAGTCAGTTTTTTGTGTTTTGTTCAAAAGGTACCGAACGCTGTCAGAGTAGCTTAGTTTGTAAACTCACTGAAAGTAGGCATGACATCCTTTTGAAATCCAAACAAAACATCTTGTGTAGTGACAGCCTTATTAAATATTTAACAATAATTACTCTATTGTTACATAATTGCCATACAAAAACGTCAACCAAACACCTCCAGCAGGCTACTTATGTCACAGATTTAAAACATTTCAAAACATATACATACTCTTAATATAAATAAATATAAATACAACATGAATTACAATTTTCCATATGGAAAACAAAAGCATTCGAGTGCAAGAAATGGAGACCCTTTACAATCTCGAAAACAAAGAAACAAAAAAATTCCTTGCCCGAATTATAGAATATCCCAAGCATACTTCAGCTGTTGAAGTCTTAGCCTATGGCTGGTAATAATTAAATAAAATAAATGCTGTTGTTTAGATTACTCAACAAGTATTAATTTTACATAACTTTGCTGAGCTCAGTTAGGTTCATTTATATTACTTCTTGGGGAAAATAAGTAATCTTAAAAAAGGGCACATGATTTAAGCTTCCTGTGATCCAGCGTAGAATGTAGAGTGGCTTTGTTTCATTTTGTATCAATTTTTAATTCAACTGCAGGTCATTACATTACTTTTTTAAACTACAATATATTCCATAAATCACTTTATATATAGAACTTAATATTAAATCAGACAAATTATATAGCTACAGTTGGTGAAGATTAAGTAAACTTCTTAGACTATGTTTTTTTACTTTTTCAACAGATTGTGAGTGGTTTGTAGAAGAAAATTAATTGAAAATTGCAGATAGATAGAATGAACCTAATATTCCATCAACATTTTTTTCCTTAAATACTGAAATTGATGCATTAACTAAATATTCAAAACAGCAAAGATGTCAATCTATTTTTTCATTTCTTAATAGTGGCTGATGACTAAACATCATATGGCACTATGTCTTCCCAAACTCCAAGTAATAATAAATATTTTATAAGAAATAGACCTGCTTCAGCCCACAGAATTACATGGGGGCGGGAAGAGGGGAAAAAAATTAAAAATATGGGAAGAAAAGAAAAAAAAAAAGGAAGAATTGACACTGAAATAAAACACAGAATCACACAGAATTGCTGAGGCTGGAAAAGATTCTGAGATCAGCAAGTCCAGCCTATGACCCAACACCACCACATCGGCCAGACCACGGCACTAAGTGCCACATCCAGCCTCTCCTTAAACACCTCCAGGGACGGTGACTCCACCACTTCCCTGGGCAGTGCATCCCAGTGCCTGATCAACAATAAGGTTCCTCTAGAAACAATCAGGTTCCTCTAGAAGGGACCATATCTAAAGCTTCAAGAGGAAGCTCTCATATGCTGCAGAAAAAGATGATTCTTCTGAGGAATAGTTACCTTGAACGAGCGCTACCCTATGTTTCTCATATGAAAATCAAACATGGAAATTACAGATCTATAAGCCATAGAGGTGGCAACGAAATTCCAGATACTGGACCACGTTACTGGTCTCCCTTCCGAGCACAGCAGTTTCTCCCAAGAGAGAGAAACGCAGTGCAGTCAACATGCAGCCAGGGTACAGAACTGAAGGGTGCTTCTGTATCCCAAGGTGAAGGTGTAGCCACAGCAATTCTTAGATGACTAAGAAACACTCAGAATTAACTGAATAAAAATGCCTGGAAATGAAATTAGTATAATGCTCCTGCTAAAAAAAAAGATGCCCCCCCCATGAGTAACACTGCAATCAGAGGTACCCTTAGGGGTAAGAAAAATTATGAGAGGGAAATTCATGGCAGTTCCTCCAGCTGATCAAGACACTGTGCCCCACTGGAAATATTCTTGGGATTAAATATGAAGTATTTTGAGAACACCAAAATATTAACCAGCAAAACCAGAAGTGACATTTCTATGGAATTCGATGCCAGCAGTTTGCGTGCTTAGGCTGACTGTGCTTAGAACAGACAGTGCAAGGGTCAGGTAGTCCTGCGGCTGCACTCTAAGAGACTTTGCTGGCATCAAGTCCATCTGAGCAGCTCAGACTTATTATGCATTAACATAACCAAGTGTCTTCAAGAACATGTGGTGCAATCAAACGATAATTTACACTAGCAGGAAACAAGGTTATCTCATACATTCTAAATCACCATTTACTTCTTGGTTTTTTTTTCATGTTACCTTTGCTTATTTTCCTTCAGTACTGTCAGATCCTTTTAATATATGTTGCACTTTCAGATTCTTTTACAAGTATGTTTCCCAAAAGTCAGATTAAAACTTACGAAAACACCTGATAAATCTCTTCGGATCTTCCTTTACGCAATCGCAGTGTCCAGGCACCTGGATTTGCTTTCAGCTGAAAATACCCCTAAGAAAAATGGAAAAGGAAGTCACTCATTCTGTCAGCATTTCAGAATCAAACCCATAAATGTACAGACATCTATTATCCAACATTTGCTACTGCAGCCAAGGTTAGCAGCCATTGCCTACTGTCAAACTAGCCCTGAAAATAACATGGCAGTGATGGAACTGAGTATCTCTTTTCCTGTACATCCATATTAATGCCTTTCAGTGGCCCTTTTTTTTCTATCTGAATTTGAGTTGTATACAAAATCTCCATCTAGAATGGTAAGTAGGTGAGCAGTAAAGAAATAAATTATTAAACTGACCCTAAATTGAAAAGTTTCTTCAAAACTTAAAAGTTTTGTCTGGAACAACTTTCCAAGTCAGCACAGCTCCTTCCTGATTTAGGAACGCTGCACGCAGCTATCATTATGTGAAAGCCACATGAAACAAGCTTTGGAATGCAAAGGATCATTAAGAGTTTCATCATGTCGAACAACATTTACTGGTGCATAAAAACCAAAGACTCGCAGTATGTTAAGCATTTTATTCCTTGTGATATAATATTTACAGAGAACAGCAGATGCATAACTGATCTTATGTGTCCAAATTAATCTCCCTATCCAATAACCTCAGTCAGTAGAAAACAAATCTTATACTTCAGAAATCACAGGATCTTCTGCTCTACAGCTTGCTAAAACAAAAAAACAATTGCTTTGTATGGCCAGAGGACTTCTCAGGTGTGGATTTGTCCCACAGCAGCTTTAAGCATGTAATGGAAGCACCTAAGCTAGGAACTTTCTTTTGCCTAGATCATTGTGTAAGAAAAATGGTTATTTTAACCATAATGTGATTCACACCTTACATTTGTTGGTAGAATCTCCACCTGAATATAACTACCTCCTACCATCTACGTAAGGCAATTAGACTCCCATTTTAGGCACTTCAGATAAGGACCTAAAATTAGGCTACATGCAAATCTACATTGGATCACAAAAGGAGGAGGAGAAAGCTCAAAGAATTAGAAGTGCACATCTTCTTTTGTAGATGGTCTCAACTCCAGGATACTCCTGATGCTTTTAGTGATACTAAGTTTGTGACACAGAGAAACAGATTTAAAAAACGAGAAGTTCAAAGAATTCTCATGGAGAGTTTGCAATGGTAATGGCTGTTTCTGTACTTACCAGATTGGCCATCACAATAGTATCAACCTGGACAGGATTGCTTTTTGTGCCCAGGGTGAACTGTAACCCTCGAGGAGGTTGTCCAGTTGTCACATCAAAGCAATGTCCTTCAAGCAATATATATTCTAGTTCATATTCTGCTATAACTGTCCCTTTTATCTGCGGAAGGAACAGTTCATCAGTAAATTATGTCATTTAACTATGTGGGAAAAGTAATGTATGACAATGAGAAACATGTATGAGATTTACATCAACTAAATTCAACACTGTCAAGGGAAAAAAAAAGATTAAAAAAGAAGCAAAATGCCCTTCCGGAAAGAAGTTCACTCGATTTTAGAACAGGTATCCCAGATAAAGAGGAGGAATCATTATCTGGAAGGACCTTTCTTTGCTCCATTGACTTTTGAGGAAGTTGAGACATCTCACCTTTGATAAAGTAATTCCCAACCTTTATTTATATAAACCCCAACCTATATTTATATAAACCTTTCCAAATACACATCTTTGTGGATCAAACACTGAAACACATCTAGTTACTTTGGAGCTGAGGGAATAAAAATATATTTCTTAAAATAGTGAACAAAAAAGGGTCAAATATATGTTAATATATATTAACGAGCAGAAATATATTCAAGTTTATTTCAAGGTTTACCTAGGAGAAACCTGTTACTACCAAACTTACTTAAAAATAAACAGAAATAGAAAGCTAGCACACAGAATCCCTGAATTGCTTAACTTTTACCTAAAAAAAAAGAGTATTTCCATAGAAATCATAAAGGTCAACATAGCAGATAAACTGCTTTCACTTGCCTTCTGCATTCTGTTATTTTCCTGTTTCATTCTTTAAGACTTGGGGTTTTTAAAGTAAGAGAGAATGCGAAAAAAAAGATGATGAAAATAAAAATGGTATACTAGTAATCAAATGATCAGTTACTACAAAAAGTATTTCTGAAAAATGAGAGACAAAAATCCCTCAAGATCTCCTTTTCACTCCTGAGGCAGGAGGCCCAACACGAGCTTTATAATGTTTTCAAACTATTACTTACATCCTGTAAATGAATATTATCGAGATCACAGGAACTGTTTACTGCTTCAACCAACCAGCTTTCAGGAGTGATCATGTTTAGAGTCAAAAGGGGTGATTCTGGCAGTTCCAGGAATTTTGCCACAGGTTCGGAAGGAAGATGCTTGTTGATCCCATAAGTTAATTCTGGTTCCAGAACAAAACGATAGAAGCTGTTGAAAAAGAAGCGTCCAAAAAAAAATACATTTACTGATGCATAAAGTTCTAAACATGAATTCTCAGAATCTGTATGTTCCAAACACAATTCTCAGAATCTGTATCACTCAAGCAGAAGAACTGATCTCTGCTGGAAGAAAAGAGTTTTTGGGAACAGCTCCTGACAGTAGCAGCAGCAAAGACAGAGAGCAGAGGAAAGGTCTTTCTATTCCTCTCCAAATCTTACTCCATTTATTCCACAGGTAAAAGGTCCTTGTAACAACAAAATAATGGTAATTTTCTTCCTTTCTCTACTGATATTCAACAAAATGCACAGAATCAGAACAGAGAAGAACAGTGAAGATGGAGAGAGTGAAAGCAGCAAGCCTAGTGCTTCACATAAGGAAGAAGAGAAAAATGGACACTCAATTACTATGAAAAGTTCCTCCTGTACCCATGACGAGCAACACAGCTCCTACAAAATATCTGGTTTTGTATATCAATGCATTTCATGAGAAACCATTGCTGTGAGATAAATACGACCTGTCTGCAGGGCAGATCATAGAATCATAGAATGGTTTGGGTTGGAAGGGATCTTTATGGATCATGTAGTTCATCCCACCTTCCATGGGCCTTCCACTAGGCCAGGCTGCTCAAGGCCCCCTCCACTTCCAGGGAGGGGGCATCTACAACTTCTCTAAATGATGTCAGAAAAGCTCCTCCACCTGGGTGGTTCCCAGTAATAGGACAAAAAATAATGAGTACAAGTTAGAACACAGGAAGTTCCACCTCAACATGAGGAGAAACTTCTTTACTGTGAGGGTGACAGAGCACTGGCACAGGCTGCCCAGAGAGGTTGTGGAGTCTCCTTCTCTGGAGACTTTCAAAACCCACCTGGACAGGTTCCTGTGTGGCTGCCCTAGGGGTTCCTGCTCTGGCAGGGTGGCTGGACTAGATGATCTCTAGAGGTCCCTTCCAACTCCTGACATTCTGTGATTCTATGATTCTACACTGATCTTACAAATGTCTTCCTGGCTTTTAAAGGGAATGGCTGAGATCTTCCTTGCTAGAGGTCCCTTCCAACCCTGAACATTCTATGATTCTGTGATTCTCTTGCCTTTCCCAGCACAGGGAAAGAACCAGGCACTAACAACTGCAGAGCACAGTCCAACACTCGGTCTGATATTAAGATGATAGGTGCTGTATCTGCTGAAGGACTGGCCGTGCCTAAACTGTCCTCTTTAGAGGGAAAGGAATCCTCTCCGGGGAGATCACTTCAGTGTAAATGTCTATACCCAAATTAGTGAACCCTGGTCCTTACAGCCAATTAAAAGAAACTTCAGCTGAAGGCAGGTTCTTTCAGGGTGCAACACTTTTAGTGAAATGAAATGAGATCTCAAATACAGATTTTACTTTTACTCAGGCAAATTTCAGTGTACTTGATCTGCAGAATTCATTAGACAGTAAGTGGGCTGCACGAAATGACCAAGTTGGGCAGACCATCTCCCTCTGCAAGTTTTTACAGGCACAAAAGACTCTCCACTGATTTCTGTAAGGAGTGTTGAGGAGTGGTGCATCTGATGGATTAAAGGAGCTCCCTGCAATCCCACGCTTGACACCTTAGAATTAGAATTTTTCTCTAGACAAATGCAAACTGCTTTGGTAACATTCAACGAAGATAACTAATGCAACAAAGGAATCCAGCAACACAAACCGCTGTTTATTTTTTAAGGGAATATACGCTGCTAAGGCTGTTTTTTCCAAATCAAGCAAGTTCATGCATTTTTAAGAAAAGGTACAAACTACTTACCTCTTCAGTGGCACTTCTGACAGCTTAGGTTTGCAGTTCAAAAACAACCTGAGTTTCATATTGATAATGTCTTTGAGCACCTACAGAAAAAAAAACAACTTGTGTGAAAAATGGTTCTTGGCAACCATCAAACTTTGAGATTTCTACTGAAGCTTCGGAAATGACAGGATGTAATAAGGATAACTTTTAGCTTTTCTTAAACATTTCAAAGTTCTAAATATATCTGTATATTAAGGGATCTTGTCAGACATTCTAAATAAAGATTTGACCTTTTCTAAAACTGCATGATTTAGCACACGATATTCCTTACAGTTAAAACGTTAATGTTTTCCCCTAGGGATGCAGTTTTTTAAAGAGCAGCTATTTTCCAATGCTTGAATAAATTATATTATCATCCTTCTTATACTGTTTATAAGTTTGGAAGTACAATACATGCTCTTTATTCAATAACTAACCTTAAAACTATGACTTTGCCTTTTATTAGAATTGTGTACAGTAAATTGTTGGATATAGTAAAGCTCAGAGAATTATTCTAATATTGAATTACTTAATAATTTTAAACATCAGTAACAGATTAATAATGTGTTAAATTATTCAATCAGCTTCAAAACATTCCAGTAAGTTGATATATTTCTACTTCTTTCTCAGTTTCTTCATCTTTTCTAAAATACTAATTTTCTGGATGCTGTGATATGGGAACCAGAATATTAAGTCAGTATTTTTTCTTATGTTTGTGAGCAATCTATTTTGTTTAAAGTTATCACGGTTATTAATTTCTTTAAAGCACTTTTAAAAACCTTTACCGAGGTATCTTCATTTCTGTGGTTTCTGGTCCAAAGTGCTTACTTGAATGCATAAAGCAGGTGTGTCTACCTTTATGGATATTATTAGAAAGCCAGGATATTAAATCTAAGTTAAAATGCTAAAAGGCGAAAATCTAAAATTACTATAATGGCAAGTAAATTGGGAACAAAGCAAGACAATGATCATCCTTAAATCTCTCTTTAATTATAATTATTTTTTTATTTCTTCAGATCAACCCATGGCTACACATATTCAGTTTTATAGTGCTACAACTTCACATAGTCCTGGTGACTTGTTATGCTCCTAGTTTCTCATTCTCATCCTTTGTGTCACTTGGACACCCTCACTGGAAAAATACTGAGCAAAAAATAAAAGACAAGGGAATGGCATAAGGGTGTGAAAAAGTGAAGAAACAGAAACAAGAATCTAAACAGCACTGAAAGCATAAGAAATGAAAGTGTTACATGACTTGGGTTAAAGACTACCAGAATGAAAATAGTGGTCAACAAGATGAATCAAATACCTATCTATCATTCAGAACAAAAAGCCCTTGTAAGCAGTGCTAGCTGGTGTCATCTACTAAAACATGCTCAGAATTTTCAACCTTAAAGAAAACAATTTCTTAAATAAGGATATTGCATCAAAAATTATGTAAACTTGTATTGGACTTTATCTTCAAACATGACAAAAACCTCACCCCACTAATAAGAATGTTACTTCAGCAATCTGCACGGACAGGTTGTTGTGTGCAAAATGAAATGATCTTGAAAAAGACTGAGTTATCCCAATTCATCAACTGACCACAATATTTAATATACTAGCCAAATTTAATATTGTAGCCAAAATAATAATGCCATTGTAATGCCTCTCAACTAGATCAGGCTACTCAAGGCTCCATCCAACTTGGCCTTGAACACCTCCTGGGAGGGGGCAGCCACAACATCTCTGGGCAATTTATTCCCAAGTCTTGACACCCTTGTACTGAAGAATTTCTTCCTAAGATCTAAATCTATTCTCCTTCAACTTAAACCCATTTCCCCTTGTCCTATCAGTGGACACTTGTAAAAAGTCCCTCCCCAGCCTTCCTGTAGGTTCCCTTTAGGTATCGGAAGGCAGATATTAGCTGTCCCCAAAGTCTTCTCTTTTCTAGACTGAACAATCCCAGCTCCCGCAGCCTGTCCTCGTAGCAGAGGTGCTCCAGCCCCTGGATCATCCTTGTGGCCCTCCTCTGAACATGCTCCAACAGATCTATGTCCCTCTTACAGGGGGACACCAGAACTGGACGCAGTATTCGAGGTGGGGTCTCATAGGAGCAGAGCAAAGGGGGAGACCTGCTGGCTACACTTCTCTTGATATGTCCCAGGATGCGGTTCTTGAAAGTCTCTTCCAACCAAAACTGTTCTACAATTCTATGATTCTACGATTTGCCCAGGCATGCAATAGGGAAGACACTGCTCAGCAGGGAGCCCCTTGCACTCAGAGGAACGGAAGTTTCTGATCTGAGCTACAAGGTCCTTGATGTAACTTCCCTTAATATGAACTTCTGGCTGAAGGAGAGAGTTTTCAGTCACTTCCAAAATGAAAATATTTGAATTTGGTAACACCAAGCTTTCGTTTGAACTGAGAATGGTGAAATGAAAGATCTAGTTCTAGAGAAAAGCTCATACTTCAGTGTCTTGAAATATCCGAATTTTCATGAATTTTCAAAATGTTTTACTTTGCTTCACTATTACCTATGAAGAGTGAGTGGATGCTTCAACATTTGATACAAAAGGCATAAAGAGTATGAAAATGAGAGGGGAAAAAGCAATGTAAGAATTTATGAAACTTTCATAATTACTGCAGAGAAAAAGATAAAACAGCATGCAGCAAAAATCAAGTTACAGGCTTCAGAATTCTAACAGACCATAAAGAGAAGACAAAATTTACATTTTTATGGGAAACTATAAAGGAACCTGAGGTAGAGTGATATTCTGCAGCTAGCAAAAAAAGAAAATAATTTTAGGAGCTCTGTTTTTAGGACAGTTTCTCTTTAGATTATCAATAGTTCACACAGTGGAAGACCTGTAGATATACTTGGTAGCATTAATCAGCTGAGAAATACCCTTCCAAGAGCTGAAAGGTTTACAATCCAATCTTCTTACGATGATATTATGGGTCAGATTTAGACCACCTTAATTAGGCTACCTTGGAAAACTAAGGTGATTTGGTTTAATGGAAATATCCATTTGCTTCTCAAGATTTGGAGATGGGAGATCCCTTCCCTCTATATTACGCAGCCAATCTCCTCTTTTCCTTCTACTGACTATAAAGAGTGTTTACAGACTCACTTTTAAGAAGACTGGTTCATGGGGCATCTGAATTTTTATACTTAGAATGATGAATTAGATCATCCCCAACTTTTTAATATCAATTTAAAGAACTAAATATACATTTTTAAATATACCTAGACATTGTGTACCTCTTTACTACACTGTATATGGAAATTAAAAAAGTTTAGTAAAAACTACAAATATGAAAATTGAAAGAAATTACCACCAACTTACAATCAATAAATGAATCATCTTCTGTGCATCTCTTGTCAATGGATCCACAATAGCAATGACATCATAGAATGGTTCATTCTGTTGGGGATCAATTTTTACTACACTGTTTAAAAAAAAAAAAGTGACTTGAAATCTCTAAATAGAGTTTGTGAAACTAGCAAACATTTTTAGGCATGAATTTGTAATATTAGAGGCACTTCAGATTTTTTTAATCATGAAGACATTTCTCTCATTTCAACAGTAATCATTATTGCTCCCTGTGATATCACTAGGAAAGCTATGTGTGCACAGCAATTAAAAGTGTAGCATTAATGTACACAGTTCCATGCCAGTTACTGACTGAATAAATGCACCATAAAAATGCACCATTAAAACCAGCTACACTTAGTACCGCATTACAAGGAGGATGGGATTCACAGATGCACATCTTGGTATTTTAGGTGTCATTCATTAACAATGACACCAAAAGACAACGCTCAGGGCATATTCACTTTTTAAATCAAGGATCAGAAACTCAAGGAGCCAACATACAAGCAAGTACTCTACTGACACTAATATGAGCTCACCAGGTGTAAACTTGTTAGCTGATGACAGGTCAGTTCAGTTTTTCTCAAGGAATTAGGTGCCAATAAACTCTAATAATTTGCATTTGGATGTAATTGAGTTGTATTAGCTGTGGTCAAGTATGACACTGCTCAACCACAAACTGTTATACAGGTAAAAAGACAATAGTGCTCAATATCCACCAACAAGACATGCTAGAATTTTCCACATTAATGAAAATTAGTGGGGGCTTCTTTTAGCTCTAATCTGTGAAATTACTTCAATTATTTTAATAAATTGTCTAAATCTTCATCACCATTCATGCCAATTCTAATCATTTTTTTCTCAGCAAAGGATAAGGCTGGAAAATCATAAAATTTATTAAGAAAGAGGTAAAGATGCATTATGCTAGGGCTTATACAACTATAGAATCAACAACTACTTCTAAAACTGGAATGCTTACTCAAATTTCCAAAGACCTTATATAGTCATCAATACATTCTAATTTAAATAGTAAAGTACTGTACGTGCATAATCATAACAAACAGAACTCACCTGTGCTGTTCCTTGAGCAATTCAGCATCTTGTCTCATCTCCGTTTTAGGCAAAGACGACAGTAGGGCATCTATTTTCATAATCAAATCACTGCCACTGTGTTAAATGAGAAACATATAATTTGTTTTTCACTAGAAAAGGTGTAAAGCATTTTAATGTATGGCTTTCTATATAAGAGATATTGAAAAAGCCCACATCCCAAACCTGGACTCTTCAAAACGATTATGACTTCGAGATCTGTAGCTTTGAGGAAAACCCCTAGCGTCTCCATACCCAAGAACTGCTATTGCCTTAGAGCTTGTAAACTGTGCAATTTTTAAAAATAAATGACGAAGAATTAGATGAATTACCATCCAGCCTCACATTTTGCATGTTACATTCTGCTGACATTTATAGCTCTTTAATCCTTTTTTGTTTCCCCCCCATTTTTTTCCCTTTGTGACAACACTGAGGAATAGACATAAATTAACAACTTTCAGGTTTGCTTGGCCACATTTTTTTTTATTTTTTTTTAATTTCTTACTGGGATTTCCCTAGAAACATTAGCAGTTCTATTTCAGTGTCACTAAGTCTTAATATTTCATTAAATATATTTCAACTCCCATTACTTATTTCTTTGGTAGTTCTACCTCTTCTTAATTTTGTTTTTCTGGTTGTTATTCTTTCAGTTGTGCCAGTCCTTCCAGAAAACAGAAATGATACTCAGACACAGAAAGTCAATAGGTACTGTAAAATATAACACAATTTTTCTCTCTTCTTTGTACACAAACTGGATCTTTAGACTAAAAGCTGGCTAGAACTCATTTTTGCACTTCTTCAATTAACAGATGTACAAATGTTGTCTGGCAGGGTGTCAGAGTACCACATCTGCCCGTGCACCTATAGGCTCCTTTTTTAATGATTCCCAAAGACAATGCACTTTCTTACTTCAAATACCAACTCTTACTTTAAATACCAATTCTCAGATGTTACTGTGGTTTTAAGATGTGTTGAATTTTATCAAGCTTACTGTTATTCTTTATAATTAACAAAAGCTAGTAGGAACTGTGAAGTTAGCTGTACTCATCTCCCAGTTTTAAGTATAGTGAAAGTAGATAAAAGTGTTTGGAGTAATTTAGCAGAGCTAGACCCGTGCCATGCAGCAAGCTGGAGAGCACGTGACTCTTTGGACATACAGTGATCTCTTTTGCTTCAGCCACATCGCACGTGTGACTGACACTAAAAGTGTGCACGTCTCTTGAATAACACACGGGGCTCTTTTTCTGCTTTATGTTGTAACAACGAGGTACCAAAGGGGCCATCAGCACTATGGTAAATGACACATGCAGTTGAAAACCAACATATACCATCTCACAGAATCACAGAACTGTTCAGGCTGGAAAAGACCTCTGAGACCAGCAAGTCCAGCCTAGGACTCAACACCACCACATCGGCCAGACCACGGCACTAAGTGCCACATCCAGCGCTCCTTAAACACCTCCAGGGACGGTGACTCCACCCCTTCCCTGGGCAGTGCATCCCAGTGCCTGAGCACCCTCTCCGTGAGGAAGGGCTTCCTGAGATCCAACCTAAACCTCCCCTGACGCAGTTTCCCCCTCATCCTGTCACTGGTTGCCCAGGAGAAGAGCCTGACGCCCACCTGACTATACCCTCCCTTCAGGCAGTTGTAGAGAGTGATCAGGTGCCCCCTGAGTCTTCTCTTCTCCAGGCTAAACACCCCCAGCTCCCTCAGCCTCTCCTCACAGGACTTTCCCTCCAGTCCCTTCCCCAGCCTTGTTCCTCTGTATATATACAGTGGACAGTTATGTTAAATAGCATAATTAGCCAAGTATAAAGGTGATACAAAATTTAGCAGAGGCACCATTTCTTCTAGAAAATAGGGCAAGGGTCCGAGTTGGTAGGTATACCAAGTTAGGCAGGGAAATGCTAAAAAGGAAATGAGGGACAGTTAAACCTGCCTACGCAGAAGTACTCAGACGCTAAGTAAGATGACAGCAAATATATAGCATGCAAATAACACTTTTAAGTGCGTACAGAGCGTGTATATATATATTTATGAGTAAATAGTTTGAAGAACACAATGACTATATATTTGAACCTTTTTTCATATTTCCTATGCAAAAGGACTATTAATTTGTCACAAGCAATGAACAAGGCAGTATATCAGAAAGCCCCAAAATGCAAAAAATATTTACCTTTTACTACTGTTTCCCATCTCTTTGACGATAGCTCTAATCCTCTCCGCTGAAGTACTGTATGTTATTTTTTCCAACAAATTAAAGTCTTCTGCATAGAATTCGTTTTCATCTAAAGGACCCAGTACCTTCGAGAAAAAAATGTTACTAAGTATAAAATGTGTCAATAAAGTTCTTCTGAAAGCAAAAATACACTAATATTATAAATGAATGCACAATATTCAACATGCAACCCTCAGCACTATATATTAACTATATAGTTACTAAACTGTAGAATAACTATGCAGATTAGGTTTTCACAGTTACGTAATTACAGTTAATAATCAATCACAGAGAACTGCTGCAATGGAAATATCCATTGTATTTTTTCATTACACCTACTTATCTAAAGGCATACAATATTTAGAAATAGCAAATCTAAATTCAGTAAATGTTAGGTACATTATTTTAAACTGAAATACAAATTACTATCTGCCTACTACACTTCTTAGTTGTTTAATGCTGTGAACACAATCTTAACCTCAAGGCTTCTCAGATGAAGCAGAAAGGATAGAAAGGAAGAAAAGAGTACAAGAAAAGAAATGTAGGATATCCAAAGACAAGAAACAGAACTACTATGAGGGGTTTTTTTTTTAGTGTCTGAAAGAAAAGAAAGTGCCTTGAAGTCTCAGGAAATAGCTTTGTGGATGTCTACCATTCCAAACTGACCCAAGTCAGTCTACAGGACTCCCAGGACTTAAAATGTCATGATGTACCTTGGTGCTGAATGACTCTCTCCTAAAAACTCAACTGCTTCCTAGAATCACATAGAATCACAGAATGTTAGAGGTTGGAACGGTCCTCAAAAGATCAAATCCCCTGTCAGAGCAGGATCACCTACAGTAGGTCACACAGGAACGCATCCAGGTGGGTTTTGAATGTCTCCAGAGAAGGAGACTTCACAACCTCCCTGGGCAGCCTGTGCCAGGGCTCTGTCACCCTTACAGGGAAAAAGTTTTTCCAGTGCTTTTGTGGAACCTCCTGTGTTCCAGCTT